CAATTCTGACTCTACAGTGCCTAGTGACATGGCTTGGGGATGTGGGTTTTTGTTTTTGTCAGAGTTAGGCTGATGGTTGGACTGGATGATCTTAAAGGTCCCTTCCAACCTAGACAATTCTATGACTCCTAGATCCCTGATGCAAAACTTATTTAGAAAAAATGGAACCGCATCTAGTCAGCGCCATTAAAGTAGATCTCTAAGTCAAAGTCTTTATCCAGAACTATTTACCAGGTTGGGATACCATGAATTTTATGGGATTTTGATACAACAGACATTCTCTTTTGCTATTAATATTTTTCATATTTCTCAGATATGTTACTTTCTTCCTCACCCCCTCCAGGATCCTGACATAGCAGAAACTCTACGGCAATACAAGTGTCACTGTAAAGATCTCGCCATTCTGAGGGATTAAGGACACCACCCTCCAGGCCTGTTGCCAAACACAGGTGCTGGCATTGCCTATCAATGGAAAGCTATATGAACTTTTCCATTAAAAACATTTATGTTCATAAAGTTGCCTCTTAATTGCCTTGAAATAATTACCAAAAAAAGCCCAACCCTGACAGAAAGCATCACCGTTTCAGAGGAAAAGAAAACCTAAACACACACCTGTTGTAATACATTGGGAATATGTGGATAGCCAGGGACTAGGGATTAAAATGTGGCACGTGGCTTTTTTCCTGCTGCTGCACTTGGCAGCGCCACAGAAACCTGAAGTCTGGAATAAATGCCCCTTTTTGCCGTTACATGCATGGAATGTGTCATTATCCACAGCTGTGCCACTCCTCCAGGCAGGTGTGTTTGCAGCAAACACGTATGCACATGCCGCTGGCCCTACGGAGTCGCACTAAATCACAAATTTAGCAGCCACTTTTGATACAGAAATTATTCTTGAAAATCCCCCCAGGACCACAGGCAGGCGCGAGTGGTGCAGCACCCAAATTCCACCTAAAGCAAGAATGAAATGCTGGAATGCTGGGTTTAAACCAGTATATAATGAAATTTGGGATTCAAACCTTACCGACACTACTTGCTGGAAGTGACAGGTGTCTTTTTTAACACTCAGTAGTGAAAACAGTCACAAACACCCTCTGCCTGTCCCTGCCGTCCCTCCAGCCCCAGCAGCTGGATCCCCCCGGAGAGGCACAGGCACACACACCACCAGCAGCTCTGCTTGCACTTGGCAGTTTCACAGAAACCTGAAGTCTGGAATAAACGCCCCTTTTTGCTGTTACATGCATGGAATGTGTCAGCTGTGCCACTCCTCCAGGCAGGTGTGTTTTAAATCTTATAAGTCATACACTTAAGCTCTAAAAACAACTATAGATACATACGGTACTATAAAAGGTATCACAAATAGTGAGTACCTTCCAACCTAAACAATTCTGACTCTACAGTGCTTAGTGACATGGCTTAGAGATGTGGGGTTTTGTTTTTGTCAGAGTTAGGCTGATGGTTGGACTGGATAATCTTAAAGGTCCCTTCCAACCTAGACAATTCTATGACTCCTAGATCCCTGATTTAAAACTTATTTAGAAAAAATAGAACCACATCTAGTCAGCATCATTAAAGTAGATCTCCAAGTCAAAGTCTTTATCCAGAACTATTTACCAGGTTGGGATACCATGAATTTTATGGGATTTTGATACAACAGACATTCTCTTTTGCTATTAATATTTTTCATATTTCTCAGATATGTTACTTTCTTCCTCACCCCCTCCAGGATCCTGACATAGCAGAAACTCTACGGCAATACAAGTGTCACTGTAAAGATCTCGCCATTCTGAGGGATTAAGGACACCACCCTCCAGGCCTGTTGCCAAACACAGGTGCTGGCATTGCCTATCAATGGAAAGCTATATGAACTTTTCCATTAAAAACATTTATGTTCATAAAGTTGCCTCTTAATTGCCTTGAAATAATTACCAAAAAAAGCCCAACCCTGACAGAAAGCATCACCGTTTCAGAGGAAAAGAAAACCTAAACACACACCTGTTGTAATACATTGGGAATATGTGGATAGCCAGGGACTAGGGATTAAAATGTGGCACGTGGCTTTTTTCCTGCTGCTGCACTTGGCAGCGCCACAGAAACCTGAAGTCTGGAATAAATGCCCCTTTTTGCCGTTACATGCATGGAATGTGTCATTATCCACAGCTGTGCCACTCCTCCAGGCAGGTGTGTTTGCAGCAAACACAACCCCCCACCCCATGGGGACATGGTGCCTGCTTTTCCCCCCGCCACCTCGTACGGGGGCTGGGATCAGGAATTCGGGGATGCCCCCCCAGGACCACAGGCAGGCGCGAGTGGTGCAGCACCCAAATTCCACCTAAAGCAAGAATGAAATGCTGGAATGCTGGGTTTAAACCAGTATATAATGAAATTTGGGATTCAAACCTTACCGACACTACTTGCTGGAAGTGACAGGTGTCTTTTTTAACACTCAGTAGTGAAAACAGTCACAAACACCCTCTGCCTGTCCCTGCCGTCCCTCCAGCCCCAGCAGCTGGATCCCCCCGGAGAGGCACAGGCACACACACCACCAGCAGCTCTGGCCCACCAACTCAGCTTCAACTCTCCACCTCTCTCCCAGGAACATCTAGTAATTTCCCAGTTTTCAGTGGCCCCTCAGAAAGCAGGCAGGAACTCAACCCTTCCCTCCCAAACAAGAAACATTCCTACCGCTGGCTCCCAGCACAAAGAAATTCACCATCTGTTCCCCGAGCGCAAACAAATCCACTTCATACGTACCATTTCCAGGGGAAAGACGTGGCAATTTTCCGCACCGTTTGCCTTTTCCATCCGCTCTGGCCGGCGAGCGACGGGATGGCCAGCAGACCGCCCCGGCGGGTCACGGCTGCCCAGTACGCCCAGCTGCTCCACCAGCTCCAAACTGGTGCGGCGTGATGCACCCAGGGACAGCTGTCCGAGTGCCACACAGGCACTGCGCCTGCTTCAACGTCTATTGCCAGCACAGAAGTTGTATATACATAGAAACATGAACACACACCACCAGCAGCTCTGCCCCACCAACTCGGCTTCAGCTCTCCACCTCTCTCCCAGGAACATCTAGCAATTTCCCAGTTTTCAGTGGCCCCTCAGAAAACAGGCGAGAACTCAACCCTTTCCTCCCAAACAAGCAGCATTCCTACCGCTGGCTCCCAGCACAAAGAAATTCACCATCTGTTCCCCAAGTGCAAACAAATCCACTTCATACGTAAAATGGTTACGTGTTTATCCTTTCTGAAATTAGTTGCTATAACAAATTACCTACTGTAATAGTTCAGAATCTGTTTACTTCTCTTTATTATAGAGCATTTTAGCAGCTGTGGATGCCCTTTGAGAAAAAAAAAAAAAAAAAAAAAAAATTAAAGAGTGTCATAACAGCTGTCCGAGTGCCACACAGGCACTGCTCCTGCTTCAACGTCTATTGCCAGCACAGAAGTTGTATATACATAGAAACATGAAAAGATTTTTAAAAATAATATTCCTATTTAATACAAATCACTCACTTTTTCAACTATTTGGGTCCTCCCTTTCCCTCCTGCCTCCCCTTGTTTTTTCTGTGGTAGAGAACAGCGGCAACTCAGGACTGCAATGTTTTTATTTGGAATTTCATTGTAACTATTCATTTGGTTCCTATGCCTCTCTAACTGCTTCCTTTACATAATATTTTCTGAAAACTAAGGCTAAAATGGTTACGTGTTTATCCTTTCTGAAATTAGTTGCTATAACAAATTACCTACTGTAATAGTTCAGAATCTGTTTACTTCTCTTTATTATAGAGCATTTTAGCAGCTGTGGATGCCCTTTGAGAAAAAAAAAAAAAGAAAAAAGTATTAAAGTGTGTCATATTAACCTAAACAAATTTGAAATAAAAGATTTTCAAGTCTTAAAAAAACAATAGTATTTTTGAAGGAAAGAAAACAAACAACCACTTTGAATATAACTGAAAATCAGGCGGAAGCTGGAGCCTTCTCATGGCTGATTAAAGGGATAAAAATAAAGATCTGCTATTCAGCGGGGAAGGCTTGACATTCAGCCAGCACTACGACCCTGGGCATCTGGGGAACATGCAAAGAAATACCAAAAAAACAAAAAACAAAACAAAAAAAAGAGCAAGACATCTATTAGTTGAGATGCCTCCAGGCTGGATGGGCACCAGCAACAGTTTGTGAGCTTGTAACCAAAATCTTAAATTAAACACTCAAGATCTTATGAAGTCCAAATGCAAGCATCTAACGTCTCTTGGGGATCTGACCCTTCAGCCCACAAACTTTAAGGAAAATTTAACATCAAATATAAGTCCCAGTACACCTGGATAGTTAAAAAAACCCAAAAGGCCAGAAGTTTAGAGCTTTATATAAGGCATTACCACAGCCAGCGATCTTCAGTGGGTAAGTGGCAGGTCACATCCAGGGTGGTAACTTTCCTGTGACGGAGACGCAGAGTAACGGGATAACTCACGTTCCCACATTCACCTTGACACTGTCATATTTATTTTGAGTATTTGTCCCAAGACAGGAGTTGGCTGTACCCGCTGTCCTGCTGTAAACTCCTGCTGTACCCGCTATCACCTCTACTCCTGAGTTGACAGTCCTGGCGCACAGAAGTGATTATTGCCCAGCTGAGACGTTTAAACCCACTACTGATAATGTTAACGCACAGAAAACCACACGAGCAATCTCTGCAGAGCACAAACGCCCCAGCAGCCCCAGCTCCAGCAGCCAGAATATTCACCACCTGCAAAGCACAGACCCGGGGCAACCCACACAGAAATCTGCTGAGACCCCACAGGGGACAGGGGCAGCGTGGGACAGGGAGCAGAGCACCAGGACAGACCCACCGCTGCCAAAAAGGCTTCCCTCCCTGCAACGCCACGGTCTGAACCACCCCAGCAGCAACAGGCTCACCCAGCCTGGTCACAACCACCACCAAGGTAGGCTCAGACAGATAAAAATGAAATGCCGCTGAAAAAAACGGGCGTATGGGGCCTGATTTGTGAAATTAATTTTATTTTTGAAACATGATATCCAATTACAAATAAATAATTCATACAATATAAGTCAATTAGGATATACAATGTTCAGGCAGTTCATAGTAACAACCAAGATCACATTGAAAATGGGTTTACATTAAATAACCAATTACAATAATATACAACTGCTCACCCAATTAACTTTTCAGCCTGGCCCAAGGTGTATGCAAATTGAAGATTGTTCCTCTTCCCGGTAAAGAAACAGATGTACACAATTCTATACTGAGTCCAAAGTAGTTAACACATCACATTAATGAAAATTAAAAATGCTGCATTGCATCACCCAAATGTAGTTTTAGTATCGAATAGAAGCTTGTGAATTTTAGCAGGATAAAGGTTGTTGCAAAGGAGTCTTACGTCCTGTAGCAATTGCTGCATAAACTTACAAGCCTTAGAGGACATTCTTAATGTATGGATTCAATTCCATACCCTTCTCCGCATCCCACCCACACGACGGGTAGGACACAGGAATGCATTACGTTCTTGCTTTCAGTTGCACATTGCTTTTTGCTTTCATTTCAGCAAAACATTTTACTGCGAGGATACAGCTTCCCAGTGAGGTATGGCCCTGCCTGTGTGTAAACTGCAGCAGCAGCAGCACCAGTAAACTCCCAAGGTCCTTTTCTGACACGTAAGTTTTTTAATTTCCTAACCTACTCCAGAAATACTATTCTCTCTGAAGAACATTTATGACACCTCGATTGAATTTAGTCAAACTCCTGAAATATTTTTAAATAATTTTAGGAACTTAAAGGACATTCACAGCATCCTTGGAATTGCTCGGTCAGTCATTTTTCATAATGAAATAAGTAAGTTTTCACAACAGAGTAAGCACTTACAATCTCCAATGATTCAGAGTCCTGGGAAGTCTTGTATTTACAAAAGCTTTGTTAAAAAAAACTTTTTGGGGCCCCTTAGGTGAGGCATATACCCCTTCTTCTTGTTTTGAGCTCAGAAAGACTGTTAAAAGTTACAGCTCTTTCCATTTCAAAACTCCCCACCTGATGGAGATCGCTACTTCCAACCATCCACTTTTCCTAATTTTCTCTACAGCTGCCCGCAGCCTTTGGGACACGTGTGCTACATTCCAGCAGGTACTTTTGTTCTCGTTACACTGGGCATGGGAAGACACATTAAAAAACAACGACAACAACAACAAAAAAAAAACACCAAAAAAAGAGAGAGCAGGTAAATTCCTGGCTGGTGTGTAGTGCATCTGCACAGGGTCCCAACAAACCCCCCTGAAGTTGTCTTTCTGCTCAGCAATGCACAAGCACAGGGTGAGAAGGTGGTGGCAGCCACAAGTATCTCTCAGGCCCTGCAGCCTCCAGGACCAAGGCTGCCAGAGCTGGAAGCCCCTACAGCTGAACCCCAACCCCAACCTACCGCCCCGTTACAGCCACGGGCTCTTCACGAGGAGCCGGGACACCCACGGGACAGCTGCCCTCAATGGGACATGGAAGGACTCAGAACATAGCAGTATTAAAGTCTGGGGTTTTGTTATAAATAAAAAAAACAATAAAGAAAACCAACCCCATACTCGTCACAAATATTTTAAGCTCACACAAGTATTTTAAAAGTCTTTTTATCTTCAACGCTGAGGCTAAAATTAATGAACCGCTTTATTTTCACATTCCATAGAAGAAATAAATGTCCACAATGAATCTGATGTCTAAAGGAAGAGGAACTATGTATTTAGACAGCAATTTTCAATAGAAAAAAAAACAACTGTAAAACCAAACGCAGAGTTAGACTGTAACCCAGTGTTGACTGGATTAGAAGAAAAATTAAAACTACTATTTTCAAACCATTTTAAAAGTTTCATTTATGCATTTTATCCAAAAGTGGATTTAAACCCTTAGCAGAACAAAATTCTCACTTCAGATTTCTTCCAAGTTAACCAAAAGCAGATTTATTTTCTTAAATCTGCTGCACAATGCATCAAAGTAACATATGTGGTACTTCAGCAATTATTAACTTTCACTAAAAATAACAAAAAAATATTTGAACAATGTACATCCTGTGCTGAGTGCGAACTATTTAAGAACCTGTTGATGGAGCACAGATAGATATTTAAGCATCAGTAACGTCTAATATACGGTGCGACACTTCCCACATTCGGATTCTTCAGCCTTTTTCCAACATTAGTCTTAGCTCTATTTGCCAGAAGGTTTCAATTTATGATCTAGATATCTGAGGGCATTAATCTCATAAATAGGGTTCTCATTTCTTCTTGTTGCTTGTATTTCCATTTGACTAGTTCCACCAGAACTGACGGAGCAGTAACAGTTTGTCACAGCCAGCAGCAGGGGAGATGGTCACCTAACACACACCTTCTCCACCTTCCATCAGAACTACAGCACAGGGAACCTGCCTGACAACTTTGGGCTCCTATGAAACTGCTTTCTAGAATCAACGCAGAGTGTTAATTTAAATAATATTTCAGATTGCATTTTTAAAGAGAATTTGTGTGCCAAACACCTCCCAGAACTCCCACGTCACAAGTGCTAACAGCAGGAACTCCTTCCCCTAAACAAAGCCTCCGTGGTGCAGAACTGCTACACGCTACCACCGCAGGGTACTAAGTGAGCATCAAGACCTTGATTTTTTTTAATACTGCAAGTAAATGATACACATGAGAGAATAATCTCCAAATTAAAGCCATTTTAATATTTGTTCCATCACAAAGTTGACTGATGTACGCCTTTTCACATTCTCGTGTAACCCTGATTAAAACATTCTTTTCTAGAAATATTTTGAAAATAAAATTCACATCTGAAACAAATCTAAACACACTCACTGAAGATGAAAAGATCCCCCATAGTTCTTGAAACAATATTCACATATTTATAGTAAAACAGAAATTGAGACTCCTTCCCGAAGTAAGAACTGGGTATAACAGACCAAGTAAGATAAATAACTCTGGCTGACAAATACTTCAAATATCTGTTTTTAAAGCAAAAAAATGCTAACCAGAAGAACACAGAATGAAAGGGAGATTTTTAATGGCACAGAGGGCAGCTGGGCACTGTGTGAGCTGAGAACATAACTGTCATTATAACTTTAAAAATCCCCCCAAGATGATTTGGGTTGCAGCTCGGGCAGAACAGGGGTCTTGCCAGGCTTTCACAAACAAGGAAAGAGCAAACCCAGTGTAATGCCCAAACCTGATGAGAAAAGACAAAAGCTGTAACAAGTCCCTCTGCTAACAGGACATGTTCAAATTTACAAAGTATTTAGTGAAATTAATGCTGAGAGCTCTTATTAGCTCTACACAATTCAACTACTGGATGAAATGGTCACCAGCAGTTTAAAAAAGGAGCCTCTGTGTTTGAGAGATTATTCTTAGGTTTAACTTCTGCTGGGTTAATAGCATCTTTTGTATTAAACAAGCTCTAACTAACACCTGCAAGAGTACCTGCCTTTACGCAGAGCTGTGCCACGACCATCTTTTCATTTTCAGATAAATATAAAAGTAACCATTAGGCACATACTGAATGTGTATTACACGAGCCGCAACGTCAAACATTTTCTCCCTCAGATTTACACAGGAAAAATAGCACAGCAGCAAATAACCTGGTGCTCTGTTCAACAATGAAAGCATTTTCAATGTACATCATGTCACAACATCAATACCTTCTTATCTTTAAATAATTAGGTAAAAAAGGCCCCCAGTATAACCATTTCTTATATAGCCAAGTTCTCTCTATATACATCCAAATTTTAAAGATACAAATAAAACATTATACAGGATTTATAAATGTTTAAAAACTTGAGGCTTCAGAATCATGGTCTCCCAAAAAGACTCGGGAAAATCCACAGACTGACAAGGTAGCAGAGAAAACTGGAAAAAAGGAGACAGACACAAGTTTGCTGCCGTAACATTTTACTAAACTTGCCAGTCATCACGGTGATGTTATCAGAAATAACAGTTTAAGCTGCAAATGATGAATGGTGGTTTTGTTGTGTTGATCTCAAGTGTTGAGACAGGCAATTCAAGTATTTCCTATTTGATCCAAGCTCATTGTAGCAAAGTGGTGCAGAAAAAAAATAATTATTTTACATTTTTTCCATACATTCGATCGATGTCCATTTGATAGTATGCCGTGAGCTCTTTGCGTTTTAGTTTGAACGCATCTGTCACTAGACCAGTCTCAGGGGTCCAAGGGTCAGGGCTCAAACGAATTTTTACTGGTATTTCAAACTTCTCCAGATTAGCTGTAAAAATAAACATTTTTAATACAAAATGTAACTGTAACCATTTTTTCTACAATTAAGCACAAAAGGAGGAACCGTACTCTCAGAGAAAAGCACATAACACAAATGAAGAAGAGTTCCTCAAACCCCCATGGTTAGCTCTGAAAACCCGTGTGGTCACCAGTGGAGTGACAGGATCCACCAGTAACTGTTCCCAGTTGCCACAGAAATGCCAACATGAACCCCAGCTGTTTGGGTGTCTGTGCTGCTCCCCAACTTCAGAAAAGCCTCAGTGCATGGAAGTGACATCCTCAACATATACACTGCTGTAGCAGTCTTATGACACCCATCTTCTGGAGAGAAAGTCTTAAAATCCATACTACTTCATCTTGAAAAAAAAGAAAGCAACCAGTATTTTTTTTGTGTTTTTTCCTGACAGTCCTAAAGCATTCAAGGAAAGTAAGTTCATATGAGCACTGTTCCCCTTACTGAAACAGCACAGTCAGCACTAAACACTCTATCATTTGCAAGAGCTTCTGCTAGGCTTTCAGACAGAAGAGAAGAAAAACAAATAACTCTTAGAAAAATAATCAATAGATGAGAAGTATTAAAAAAAAAATCATCTATTTTCAGCTTAAATTAAAAAAAAAAATCCATAAACGTATAATTATCCTGTGCAAGCTGTCATTTTCAGGTTTTCCTGCACCTTTTACTCCCCTTGACATTAAATCACTGGATTTGGAATTTTTTTGCGATGTAGCACTAGAAATCATAATATTACTTTAAAAGTAAAGCTTATGGTACCACAGTGAAAAAGAAAAACAAATATAAAGAAAACATGAGAGCGGGTGTAAAAATGCCTTAGGATTAAATAAAATATTCTGCTTCATTGTGTGCTGCACAAAAATGAAAAGGAAAGTGACTTTGTAGACGCTCTCCACAGCGGCAGCTTCTTAGAACGACTCTGTCCATACGCTCCACGCAGCAAAGAAAAATGGACCGGAGACGTGGGGCCAGGAAAAGAGAGTCTGCTGCAGCGGGGAGACTGCAGTCACCGTAGGAGCCTGCTCCTCTAACACAATTCTGCAAACACACTAACCATGGAGTTTAATATATTCACAAGTAATACGGAGAAGAGATGCGTATTATAAGACAAAGATTGTTAGAAGCATAAAGTAATGCAGGGTAGGAAAGATGAGGACAAATGACACAGAGGTGCAGCAGGGCACCATGACACTGAGCGACTGCGACACAGACAGCAGAAATCAGTCATGGCAAAAATGCGTAAAAGAGAACGCATATGGAAAAAAAAAAAAACATCCACAATGACTATTTAAAAAACATTGTGTGGTCATAACCGACAGCTTTATGAAAAAAGCTCAGTGCTTAGTAATGATCCAAAGCAGAAACAAGGCAGAAATTATTATGAAAGAACAAACAGAGTATCACTGTGCCACTGCTTCATTCTGCACCAGAATAGCTAAACAGACTATGGCCAATTAGCATGAAAAAGATACAGCTGAAGGGAAGTATAATAGGCACTGAATAAAATCAGGACTGCCATTGTGCCTGTTCTCTGCCTCTCCCCACACAGGAGCTTGGCAGAACCTCACCGAAGGAGCAGATGGCAGGGTTAAAACAAACAAGAGGCGTTTCTTCGCGTGAACACAGTCGAGCTGTGCAACCCCACCAAGAGGCAGTATGGGTGCTGACACAGAGCATTTACATAGCTTGGAAGTGCAACCAGAAGAGTTAATGGAAGAAAAGTCTACTGAAAATTATTAACTGCAAAGACACTGCTTTCAGTTTAGGAAACCCCTCACTCAGGTGGAAGTCACTGGAAGGAGGGACAGCCCCTGTCACCATGGGCTTATTTCAACAGCACGTGAACTGTACGATACCCAGCACACACGTACCATGATCTACAGATGATCCATGTTCTTTTGGGCCAGCAGCTAAGGACAAAAAGATACTACAGGATACCTTAAAGAGTGCCAGACACAAATACTTACATAAGAATTGAACTGAGCTTGTTAAATTTGCCCTGGTTTTTTATTCTTTGCTCAGCTATTGGCCATAGTCAAACAAATAAGTTACATAAACCAAAAGGACTGACCCGATTCATGTTTTGTAGAGGGGTTTTTTTGTATGAAAGTTTCATTTCATATTTCTTTGTGTATGTATATTTTATAGAACATATATTTTTAGGGCCTATGCTTATGTATTTCACAGACATTATGGTCCACAAGGTTCATACAATGTGTCCAGCCACTCACCTGCCATGGCAGCCTCAGCTAGCACCTTCAGTACCTCTTTTTCCATCTCAGGACTGTTACAGATCTCTTCCCAGGTTCCTTTAAATCCTTTCTTTCGAGCTAGTTCTGCGAGCTCCTTTTGATTTGGCACAACAAATCCAATGACATAAGAATGGAAACTGAGAAGTATAACGCACTTTAGTATGAATTTTGTAAAGTTAACAAGTCTTCAAAAAAAAAACATTTCAAAGTTGAGGGGTTTGCACTTAATAGAGAGATATTGCTCTTAACAGTTGGCTTTTGTTCACCTGATAATCTTTCTGAAATAGCACACAAATTACCTTTGCCTGCTTAAAAAGAAAGAGAAGCTGCTTACCTTACAGCAGCTGGACTGCTTCAAGGTGTGCTGTCCATATGCATATTCCACTGTGCCTCACGCTCAGAGCTTTGGGGAAGCAGTCCCCATGCGATGGCAAGGCGCCCTGCCTCTCCTCATGTTTTGCATCCCAATAGGAAGGCTGGTGGGCCGCTTCCCTACCTCAGTTTCCTCTCAACTGCAGATCCAGTTACTGTGGAGGAGTAGAGGACTGCAGTGAAGAGGGGTTGGAGAGCAGGTTGTGGAATGAGCATATGTGCAACACATCTCAAAGAACGCCTGCGTCTGTAAGGGAAGTGACTTCTCTTTCAAGGGATTGTCCATACGCTCACTCTCCTGTTGGCCATCTTTGCCTGCTCCTGATACGCCTAGAACCTATGAAGCCGTGATCTCAAAGTCTTTGGAAGTCACTGAAGCACAATCCACCCTGAAAGAGGTATTCAAGGTTCTTGAGATGGTGTAAAATGTTTAGGGAAAACATGAACAGAACCTCACATAGCAACTCTATGTTGCATTTTAACAAAGCTGCCCGAGTCAGAGCTGAAAGGGATCTCAGATCACCACCTGATTCGTTCACCTGCCTTGAAGCAAGGTCAGCTGCATCTGACAGGTGTTTGTCTAGCTCATTCTTAAACATCAGGCAAACGCCAATGTTTCAGTACTTTTAGCACTGGTAATCTGTTCCTGATGGCTGTTCCTGACACGTCCTCTCTGCAGTTTACATCAGTTGCATTTTCATACAGCCAACAGTCAGATGTTGCTCTCCTTTCCACAGAAGTCATGTATTTGTTCACAGACTGTTACTTTTTTTTTCCTTCTCATCTTTCTAGTCTTCCTTAAGTTTCTTTAGGAATTTAAGGATTACCCCTTACTTCTAAGTCATGTATCAGAGATCTCTGCCCAGATGTTTCCATTTTTCTCCTAAACTTTTTTCAAGAGGTGCACCTTTTCTGAAGTGCTGCATGTGTAACTCAGACCCCTTAATGCTTGGTGGAGCAAAAAGATCACTGCCATCTTGTAGGCTATACATCTGATTATGCCATATTTTTTACCTTCTTATAACAGCATGGTACTTGTTGATTCATGTCAGCACCAGGTGATAGTCCTCATTGTGTATTTTTGCAGTTGATTTAGGTTAAGTATAATTTATATTTCTCCTCTTTAAACGAACCACTGCTTTCAAGCAAATCTCCATCTAGTCAAGCTTGCTCTGAATTCTAATCCTGTCCTCCACTGTCCCTTTCGTCCTGTCCCACCTTAACCATATAAAAGGTTCTTAAATCTTTTCAACTCTCTCTTTCACCAAGCAAAATACAGAACCTTAACCCTGCTATAATGATTACTTTAGTTTATCCTTTAAGGTGTCCGAGATAATTTTAAAAATACTAATTCTAAATACCCTTTTGGTTACTGTACATGGCATTTTTCTCCTTTTTTACTGGTATGAACTACAATGGGCAGCTGACAGCAGCTGTGAAAACTACACGTGTCCACTACAAACACAGGCTTCCCCGGCATCATCTGCCCACAAGCTTTGCCTTTTATTCGAAACTGTTTTCATTTTTCTCTTACTAAGAACGTACTTGCAGAAAGACTTCAGATTAGTCCCAGTACCACTTACTGCTTGTGCCTCACCTTCTGCCTTTGCCTGTGATTTCCCCCTAGACACACACACTTGTGCTATACTCTGTGCTGAACCCTGTAACTTTGTCTCAGGTCTACTCTGTGATCAGTATTAGGTATGAAGGCATCCAGGACACAAAGGATTCTGGCACTTTCATCCCTGGTTCCTGTAGATTTTTGACATGCACAGGGTTATGTCCAGCAACATCACCAGTGTCTCCAGGGATAAACAGTACATCAGTTGGCTGGGTAAGCCTCAAGCTTTCTGTTCATCTAAAATTCAGCCTCTTGAGTGGAAGCATACTTCTTCTGGACAAACGGGTTCATCCAACTATGCTTTTTCCTGGAAAGAGCACCTTGCAGCTGACAGCTCCTGGAACGCGTAGTTTTTCATTTCACCGAGTTAAATCTTCACTTGCTGCAGTTCAAATGCTAAAACACTGTTTGTCTTGAGAAGTATCCTTAAGAAGACTACATCATCTCTCTGGAACAGCCACTTCCCTCTCCACTACTGATCCTCTGCAGATGATTTGAATTCACTAGCTTCTTCAGTCTTGGAGGTTGTAACAACAGCATGAAGGAAGAAATTCTCAGAATTTGGTCCTCAGGACCTCCTTAGTCATCTCCTCCATGCTAGGACATTTTGCCAAAACATCTCTCCTACGCTAAGAATCTTCATTCCCTTGCTGTTCTTGAGATCCTACCTGAGTACTGCTCTTGGATCTATGGTAAGAGACAGTTACAGTGGCACTATGTGCTGATATCACCATTTCTATTCTGCGATGTCTGGTCCTTACCAACTTGCCTTGAGCTTCCAGCTGAGAACTCCCTTGGGGTTTTTTGCCACATTTCCTCATTCCCCAGGCAACCGACAACTCATTTTCCTGACGTGATGCTTGATATCCACTGAATACATTTTGCATGGGTGAAGTGCTGATAAAGCACTAGGAGTCTCCTCTGAAAGAGCTCTAATCATGACTCCTTTCGGCAAACATTTTATTCCTTGTCTCACTGAGCATTTTGTCTGAAGTGACCAATGCACACAGCTTTAGAAGCAGTGACTCCCTGCGAGCACTGCTGATTCCCTGCCACCATATTCAGGAGATGTACACCCCAAGATCTAAGGTCAAATCACAGATTTAACCTATTTGTAAAAGTCTGCCCTCCTTGTCCTTTTGCATGTGGGAGGTAAAACAGCTACAAATGAACCACTCCTCTTACGAAGGAGATCAGGCACTCAAAGTATAAGGAGAGACAGGATACAAGAGAGGTCATGGGCACTGCAAACAAAAAGTCTCCGAGCTCACACTGCTGAGGTGAGTATATATCAACAACAGAATGTGCATATGGACAACCATCTGGAGAATCCGTATTACATGGCTGCTTATGCTGAATTACAAGCATGAAAGTATTAGGAAGAAGTACAGCAGCAGCAGTATAACAATCTGCAATGCACTTGGACCCCGTAAACTGCCTTTAAAAATTACTCATAGATTTTCCTATTTTTAAGTAATAGGCAGGACACAGACTATCAGAGTCAAATGCCTGACAAGTGCATTTTAGTCTCCAATGTTATGCTGACCTGGCAAAGTTAAAACAAATTTGATAGTACAATTCCAGTAGTGAACTGCAACCCTAGAACAGCAGAAATTACCATCTGGAGAAGCCTCTTTGAGACTTGCCCAAGGTGTGTCCTTGGGCAAAACCACAAATCAAATCTAATGTAACGGAAGTTGTCTTGGCAGTGCATGCCCAATGCGTCTTAGCCTACTGATCCAAAACTGTCAAAACTAATGGTAGTCATCCTGTAACTTCAGTTAACACAAAAAACAACAACAACAACAAAAAAACCAACAAAGAGAACCAGGTGAACAAATCAAAAGTTAATTTTCTATTTTAATACCACTGAGCAATTCCCTCGTATGGTTGTACTGGCCTCCTTCAATCAAAGTTATCAAATGGGGCTTTTTTGGCCATACTGGAAATCAGAATATTTCTGATCATTCAGAAACTCCAAAATGACCTTCCAAACATCAAAATGACAACAAGAAACAATGATCACCTGAAATATATTTAAACATTTAAGTCAATATCATATACAGGTAGAAAATTCTAAGAATAGAAACTTAAACCCTTATATGCCTAATTTGGGAGCACAACTTAGAAGCAAATAGAAAGGACATTTGATCACCATTTATTTTATGTTTGCATAGTATTTACAATATGTTTTCTTTCAAGCTTCAAAGCTTCTGCTAGTGTACTGCAGGGGTTAAAGAAAAGTATTTTTAATGAGCAAATCAGCTTCTGGGGTGTTGGTGGGAGTTTTCCCCACTTCCTCCAAAGTACAACAATACTTCTGCAGAACAGACCCCAGCTAAATACAGACAGGAATAAGGTGTCCCTTATTCCTTATACAGGTATATATAGGTATAGGTATATATATAATGTAGGTATTTTCCTTATATAGGGCTTATATAGGTAATAATGTCACAAGTGCTTGAGTGACACAGCCAGAGTTCAGCTGCTTTTCAGATTGGGAAAAAGGTAATGAAAGACTCATTCTTGGCATTTTCCAACAAATGATGAAAGAAATGGGAAAGGAAAAATAGAAACATACATTTCAGATGTTTTAGTTTTGACAAAGTTATTCAATTGTATTATAAGTAAGATCCTTTTCAACTGGTTTAAAAAATTCCACGTGTTGAGTGGCAAAAAATTTTGCTTACGGCTTCAGTAGGACAGACAAAGAATACAACAATAACAAACTATCAGCTGCCTCTTACCTGCTTGCATATGCACAAATGTTATCCACCAGTGGAAGATTCTTCAGAGCTGCCTCTACTTTGCCAAGAGAAACATATTCTCCTGCCTGGAGTTTTACAAGATCCTTTTTACGATCTATTAAGGAAAAATGGAATCAAATGTTAATTACAGACACAAAACTTTAGACGTTGATCTTGTACTTTTCTGAAAAGTACATATAAATGCCAAAAGGTAAGCTGACTCACGTTTGGTCAATGTGCCAGAAACGTTTCATATCGGGTTTCCGGACTTGGCATTTTATCAATCTGTCCCTCATTTAAACATGAGATATTTGGACCCCATGCATTTTCTGTCTTTAGAACAGCACCTCCTGTAAGACTGCACTGGCATGCGAATGGAAGACAACTAGAATTATGCAAAAGCCAGTGTTTGGCCAGAAGGACACATTTTGTGCTGTCTGGTCCAGGCGCTTAAGGCAGGAAATGCAGCATTTGGTGACATTTTGATATTTATTCCCAGGCTAAATCTATATTTAAAGAGCAACTGTCCATCTGTTATTTGAAACACAACAATAGGAACTGAAAATTAAGCCCAAATTACTTGAGCCTATTGTAGCTAGGCCAAAGAAGGAGCAGGCGAGCAGAGGGCCTCACCCACCCAGCTGCGATGGCAGCCAGTGGTACCTCTCCCTGGCCACGGGCCTTCACCCTCTTTGTGCAGCCAGGCAACAGCTGCAACGGGACACAAGATTCTTCACAGAAAATAAATTAAATAAGCCGAGCTTTCAGGATTAAAAAGCACCCCGAGTCACCCACTGACTTCAAGAGACACACACAGCAGCTTATAGGGCACCCGGTTTTGTGCCTAGAGGTGTCCAAGAATTATAAGCATATGTACAGCCTTTTAGGCTTTACTTATCTATACTTTTCCCATAGTTCCTCTATGGTAAAGAGATAGTCTTGTTATAAAGAACAGCAAGATTAAAAAAAGGCTTATTTAATTACTGAGCACTTATTACGAGAAGAGCCCTTTCACTGAATCAAATTCCCCACTTAAAGAATTATAAAACCTAAGGCAGATTATATAGCTCAATTAGCCTACATTTTATTCTCTAATTACTACTCTCACTAACAGAGAGTCAAAAGACTAAAGTCAATGTTAAAACTGTTTTAAAAGGAAGCGATTGTTTTAAAAATCAGTTTTTAAAACAAACAATCAGGTTGATGGCAACATACCAGAACTTCCCAGGATACATGGCAGGGCTTTAGACTGCATGGAGATATTTTTTTTTGTGGTAAATTACAGTATTTAGCAGCCCTCAAAAATGTGCACATATACATTCTCCTGAATTTATTAACTCACCAATAATTTTTAGACATCCATCTTGATGAAACTCTCCAATGTCTCCAGTATGGAGCCACCTCTGCCCATTCTCATCAACAGTGAAATCTTTTTTGGTTCGTACTTCATTTTTGTAGTATCCCACAGTCACATTTTGCCCTCCAATAAGAATCTCACCTCTAGGATATGGTTTATCAGTGTTGTAATATCCACCTAAAAGTACAGGTTTCATTAAGTTATCAAGAACTAAAATATATTCCAAAGCAAGAATTCCTAATAATTTTACTATTTAAATATAGAACTGAACACTTTAGTAAGCCCGTAGCCAAAGTTACCACTTGCCTAAATAGTTCAGCAAGAGAAGAGGTGGTTCCAATTCTTTTCAGCACATTAATAGCTATTTCATATGTTTGTTTACAAACAGTGAAATTCACACAAATGCAGAGGGCAAATGCCACTTCTGTGCAATCTTTCTGCCAGGACTAACACGGTCTGTCAGTTTCATACAGGCTCAAATAAAAAAAAAAAAAAAAAACCCTTAAATATTGTATGTTTCTACTCTACAATACATAAAAGCCTGTAGTGAAAGGAAATAACCTAAACACATTTCAGATTTCATTAAATATATTTTATACAGCATCCATTAAGCTTCCATTCCATATGCCAATTTTTATCAATTTTATTAATAATAATAGTATTATGAAGACTATTTTAAAATAATTTCTTAAATGGCAACATGCATGCACTTCAGTTGAAGTCTCCTGAATCCAGCAGCTCTAAGACCCAACATACATACCAGACCTGCATTCTGTCCTGCAAGAATACTGATCTAAATCAGAGGTACAATATACATTTACACAATTATAGTGACCGGAATAAAAGAAATAGTATAGCCAAAGAGAATCGTAATACAACCTTGTCAAAATGCCACTTAAATTGATAGCTTCTGTCTAGATATTTGTAAGTTCAAAAATCGCTGAGGAATTTATTTCACCTTTGTTCTCCCCAAGGCCAAACTTAGACAGGTGAAAGTGGCATGAAAAATTTCAAAAGCCAAGAAATAGTCTTCTAACAACTACTGCTGAGCAAAGCCCAACAGAAAAATAGCTACATGAGGCTCTTGCAAACACACTGTAGTTTAATCACATACAGAAATTCTCACCTTCTTCCCAGTTCATTAACTTGATTTCACAACAGACCAATGGTGCTCCCACTCTCCCTGTAGTGTAATCCCAAACTAGAGTTTAAAAAAAAAAAAAAAGAGCATTTTTCAGAAATTACCAAAACTGAATCAGAAAAAAATCTTTGTTGTTGTGCATCTCATTTAGTAAAACTAACTGCAATTTATTTCTGAACTTTAATTCACAGAAAAGAACGTGAAGAAAACCAATGGTTCTATCAAGGTGATGGCAGATGAAATCCTTATCCTGCAAAGAATAACAGATGGCTGTATTTATAGATACCTCCAGTCATATCAACACAGCTTTGACAGCAAGCTGTACGTGTGGATCGTGCTTCAGAACTTTAAATAGCATTTGCTGGACTCTGAAATAAGCAGCAACCACTCAGGGATTCTATATTTTGATTCACTTTCCTGGCATCTCAATTCCCAAACACTTTTGCATCTGAGCACCTCCCTAAAAGAGCATCACTGGAGACTACAGCATTTGTATTGCAGTTCCACTTTCCCCCCCAACCAAGCTACTGAAGAAGACTTTTCCAAAGTCCTCGTGGAATAAAACCCACATCACAGCAATTTGTGGATCACCAAGGAACATAACGCAAGATCTACAACCTGGCATTATCTAGCCATGAACCTTAAGATACTCCTCATATTATTCTTAGGTAGATCACATCATTTCCAAAAAATAGCAGATCTGTTTCTCCCACCACAGAATGTAAGTGAAATTTTAGGACTAAAAGGCAACTGGAACCATGAAGTTCTGTTATATATAAACTAAAACCTGGTGCAGGCTTTTGCATTCCATTTTATTTTCCTAATGTCTCAACAGACTCACTAAAATTAGAAATAATTTGTTCAGTTCAACTGGTGAGTGCAATAATGCCAAGATCCCATTCACACTATTACAGCTTTCTCTGCCACAAATGAGAACATTCATTTTATATCTAGGTCACCAGCTTCAGCACAACGTGTCAAAATCAGCACTCCTACTGTTTTACACATTTATGATTACAAGCGATTCCCAGGACTCCCCAGTTCCGTTTCGTGGGATGCTCCAACTGAGGAGACTGTCAAAGATGACACACGCAGAGGGCTCAGCGTGGATCACTGACACCAACCTTCTGTGATAGTTCCAGCTCCCGCTGACTCAGTCAGGCCATACCCCTGTCCTACAGGGCAACAGAAACAAATGTTCATAAACCGCTGAGTCGCTGCAGAGAGCGGAGCTCCTCCACAAAGCAGGATGCGGATTTTTCCACCTAGCAGCATTCGTACTTTCCGGAAAATAAGGCTAAAATGCAAAGATAAGAGTATGTATTTGTTGCTTAAAAGCGAAACAAGCGAGTACGCAATTTTAGATCTGAGCTGAAAGATTCTATCATCTTCAAATAAACTTTTATTGCATTCAAGGAAAATCTTCAAGGAGCACATTTAAATTTTCAAAAACACAGGCAGAGATTTTTAAGATTTGAAGATGGGTTAAATGTTTTGAGAATGTAGACTTAGTAAAGTTCTGTGATTTTCTCCTAAAATATAATTTAAATAAGCTGTATAAATTTTGCAGTTATATTATCCTTTAGTCTCACTAAAGTTGGACTCAATGATCCTTATGGGTTCCCTCCAACTTTAAATATTCTATGATTCACTTCTGTGAAAATGTGAAGTCTACAGATTTATAGGAACAGACTTCCCATCTTATCCCAAAATTGTATAAATTAATTTTTAAAGTCTCGATGAAAATAATGCAATGAATATAAATCTCTAATCAGTTTCAAGTTAAATAACATTCACTTAAATTATATCAGTAAATATTTAAAACCATCCCACAAATTACTGATTTGTTGTTTCAATTTACACTTAATTACAGAGTTGTTCATGTTCAAAGCATCAACATTAAAGAGAAGCACACAAAAAAACCCAGACGCTGCTCATGTGATAAGACTTTGGTAAGCATTTTTTTGGTGCCATTAAAAATAAAATTAAAATTACCTATCACAGAGTGGGGTACTGTAACCTTTGGAAATCTGTTCCATTTTGTAGTTGTAGGCCAATATAAATAGATTCCGCTGGAAACTAGTCATTTCATTCACTTTATTCATGACATTTTTGTAGATCCGATCCATAATTTCCTAGTTGCATAAAGAGATTAGCTTTAACTCAAAGTAACAGAAATCCTAAATTCAGTACCACAAAAAGGAACATAATCTAGAGATTCTAGTACATTTCAGATGACAACCCACCCCCAGGTCACTTCCTCTTCCACTGCTAAGCAATAGCAAGATGTTCACAGACACTGAGGAAGTAAACATCTGAGCAGGAACGTTTGTTAACCCCAAGCTGCCTACTGCCAACTATCTTTATTCCATTAATTTACTATTACAATACATTACTAATTAAAATGGCAATCTAATCCCCATAGCTATTTAAACATTGAAAAATGTTGACACTCATATGATAATGTTTATCCTCAACATACAAATAAATATCAAAAATATTATTTAATATAGCTCAACATCAAAGGTTCTACCTTTTTTATTTAAGTGGTCATATAATCATAGTACAGTTTGGGTTGAAAGGGACGTTTAAAGGTCATCTAGTCCAACCCCCCTGCAATAAGCAGGGACTTCTTCAACTAGCTCAGGTCCAACCTGACCATGAATGTTTCCAGGAAGGGGAGATCTCTCACCTCTCTGGGCAACCTGTGCCAGTGTTTCACCACTCTTACCTAAAAAAATTTTTTTTCCTTATATCTAGTTTAAATCTACCCTCTTTTAGCCATTGTCCCTTGTCCTCTTGCAACAGACCCTGCTAAAAAGTTTGTCCCCATGTTTCTTATAAGCCCTTTTTAAGTACTGAAAGGCTGCTATAAGTTCTCCCCAGAGCCTTCTCTTCTCCAGGCTGAATAACTACAACTTTCTCAGCCTGTCTTCATAGGAGAGGTGCTCCAGCCCTCTCATCATCTTTGTGGCCTCCTCTGGACCATCTCCAACAAGTCCATGTCTTTCCTGTGCTGAGGACAGGAATCCTGCACTCGGGCCTTGTTGAACCTTATCATGTTCGTATTAGCCCACCTCTCAAGCTTGCCCAGGTCCCTCCGAATGACATCCCACCCCTCAGGAGTGTCAACCACACCACTCAGCTTGGTGACATTAATTTTGTGATTAAAAAGTTGAATTATGAATTAAACAGTAATCTTAAAAATTATTTATCCTTCAGTTACTTACCGGGACAGCTGCCATTAGGGTTGGCTTAAGTGTAGTGACATCACCTTTGCTTCCTTTTTTTATTTTAGAGGACTAAAGCCAAGAACAAATTTATTAGTAGACACATTTAAGATTTTTAACACGAGAAACAAGATTACATAGCACATCTTTCAAACATTTTCATTTAAATTATATTTTAACAACTAAAATTAGCCCAGAGTACCAGTCATAACCAGCAATACCCTGCTTCGTGAACTGTAGAAAAGAAGATTTTTTGCAATATTTTTAAAGAAATATTACAAAGATATGACGTGACTAATTTTTGGTCTTTTTTACCATAGAGGCTTATATCAACAACACAACATACCTGGTCAGCTAATGTCTGAGGCGAAGAGTAACCGATGCGGCATCCATGAGACAGACACACAAGTTCAGCGCTCAGCTCCAGAACATGGGCAAGAGGCAAATAGCCAATATAGATGTCTTTTTCCCTGTAAAGAAATTTTTAAAGATAGGTTTACATTTTACCATTAGAGTCCTCAAGCTAAATTTACACAGAGCTTACTGCAGAACTGCAGGGAGTGGAAAAATGCCCTGGAGCTTGAGAACATATTTCAAATGTTACGAGTTTTGTTTCAAAAGCTGCGTACTACGTACTGTAGGTTTAAGGCACAAAGTGTAATGTTTACTGATCCCAAGACAATTAACCATGTACTATGGCTGAAAAGGCAACTCTGTAGACAAGATTAAAGACTGCACCAAACAGAAAGAAGCCACAGAATTTAAGACTAACCAAAGGAAGTACTGGTTAGGGAAGCTTTCAACCACTCTAGTGCAAGGTGGCCCCACAGGCTTTTGTGTCCTGGTCTTGCCCACATACAGAAGACAGAGAACAAACAGCACACGAAGCAGTCATGTCATTTAATGCAGTACTGGAAGATGTTCAGACAGCAGTACATAGTATGACGTGCCACAGACAAAGCAATACAAAACAGTTAACATTTTACACAGTAATTTAATTTGAAATCATATGCAACTACATGACTTCTTTAATTGCTGGTAAGTAACTATTGGTACATACCCCAGATTGGGAATCCTCTCAGCCATTCCAGTTATCCCAGCAATTATGTTGCTATGGGAGATCATCACTCCCTTGGGAACTCCTGTGGATCCACTCGTGTACATGATCACCGCGATATCGGAGGGCACAGGCCTAGCCTGCTGCTTATTTCCTGTAATTTGTGTTAAAAAAGAGAATGTATAATTTGTGGAAGACTAGGAGATGTGATACACTAACATGTTTCAGCAGTCATTCCAATACAACACTACATGACTATGACGTTCTGCTTTTGGTTTAACTTTTCAAGGTTAAGTGCCTTCACCAAAAGCAGGATCTGCTCTGCATTAGCGAGTGATTGTCCTGCTCTACCACGACAACGCTTTTTCTATCATGTTTCCCAGGTTTCTGCAGAGGAGAGAAAAAACGAGCAGAGATCTGGCTTCTCCAAAATGCCACCGAGCTTCACGTCCTTCGGAAGGGAAGCTGCCCTTGTTGTCCCCATTTGCAAAGCTACTTTCTCATGTGTCCCCGGCAGGGCAACACCACGCTGCCTCATGTGCAACACCTCCTGCAAGGCACCACTGAGCCAATGGGAGGTCTAAATTCTATAAATGTTTAAAGAAAGTTCAATAGCTTCAATAGGATTAAAGTTTTTTTTAAGGTACTTGCACTGAGTGCAAGAAGATATGAAAACAATTGTGTTTATTCGGAAAAACAGCATAATGCACGACACACGTGGCACAACATTCACACTGAACGAGGAGAGTGAAAGCAGATTTAGTAATTTCCCACTCACTGAATCCTGTACGAAAACAATTGTGTTTATTTGGAAAAAACAGCATAATGCACAACACACGTGGCACAACATTCACACTGAACAAGGAGAGTGAAAGCACATTTAGTAATTACCCACTCACTGAATCCTGTATATCCTGCACAATGAACAACACAGAGGAAAAAAACCATAAGCAGCAGCTTATGTACTTAATATAATATTAATTGAATATGCTTGACCATAAGTAATTCGTTGAAGTATTCCACAATTCATGAATGGTGAAGTTAACAAAGATAGTGTTGCTTTATTAGAGTGTATAGTATGTGATATTTAAAAGACTGACGAAAGAAGGGTTAAACACTTTTTACATGGCACACAGATTAACAAAGCTCAAGGAGCTACTGAATTATAACCATAACAGTTTTAATAGTACATAAAACTGGTACCTCAAAAAGGGAAACCATATTTTAAAGAAACTGAGAGGTCACAGTGTTGGAAGCAAACCTGCCATTCCCCTGAACATCAACAGCAGATGGATTAACCACCCACCCTACTCCCCAAACTAAATTCAATCCAACATTCATGTGCCTTCAGTGGTTAAAAGATTCTGAAAGCACAAAGAATAAGAACAGAAAAAGTAACTACTGAATATAATGAAATCTTAAAATACGATGTTTAGCAGCTCTTCAGAGCCAGAATAAAAACTTGTTATGATAGTTTAAATACCTTCTGAAATTCTGAATTCTAATTCTAAGAATGCTACATAGATTGGAAATAGATTTCAAGAAATTTACAAAGTAGACTGACACTTTCAGATGACTAAAACTTCCAGAAAGGCAATAGAAGTGACCAAGTTCTATCAGATTTAACTTACTATTTTACATTTTGTTACAATTTACATATTTGTTTAAATTTTGTTATTCGTGAATTTAACAAGACTTGATGGCAGCAAATTACTGATGTCTTTTGCTATAAAATGCACACAATTATTTTCTCTGCGTGCTCTGAATAACCTGGTTGTAATATGTCGGATCATAAAAACGCTTTCTAAGTTTCTATCCCAGCCTAAATGCTCATCCTAAAACATATTCTTCAACACGTGACACTTGTGGAGAAGACAGTTTATATTAAAAGGGTTTTATTCAAGGGTGCTAAACACCAAAAAACCAAACAAAAAAATCTCACACCCCAAAATCCAATCACAACCAAACAAAAAAACCCCACAGATTTTAAAGAAAAAGTAGATGATAAAAGGTTAATGGTGGCTTTTTTTTTTTTGAGATTTGCAATTTTCCAAAGTTTACTCAACAGGGTCAAAGCAGGACAACAAATGCGATGCTGCAAAGGGACAGCAGAGATGACCTACCGGTATCTGCCTTGGCCCCCATGGCTTGCACAGAAGCCATCGTGTGAACAATGACACCCTTGGGAAACTCTGACCACGTTGTTGGTTTGCCATCCACTGTAATAATGTGTCGCAGCAGTGGAACCTGAGAAACAATCTCCTGTGGAAATGAACAGAAATCAAACATGAAGCTTGTACCAACACGAAGAAAACAAATTATCTACTGTATACATTAAAAAAGGCATTGATATAAAATACCTGAGGATTTAACATTTCAGAGGATAAACTTGTCTAGCTCAAATAGCTGCAAAGCCTGAAATTTTCCACATTTAGATTTGCAGGAGTGATTGAAATTTCCACTTACAAGTCCAAGAACTTTTCCAACCATTTACTGATCTGGGTCTTATTTCAAGACAAGCCCACAAATAAGACTGCAATGATTTGTAGAGATAATTGACTTTCCATTCTCATAGAGCACCGAGAGAAGTTGGAGACACCGAGCTCACAATAATCCTTATGTTGCTCTTTGATTACTATGCCTTTTTAAATAAGCAACAGCTAGCAAAAGTACAGAAAATTATTAATTAAGCACTTTAAGCAAAATGTGAGTTCGAAAACATTTATCAGTGTTCTAGTGAAAGAAGAGATGACTACAATCTCTAGCAGAAGAAACTGCAAGCTGAAATAAGTTTGCATTGCACATATCCTGTGATTCTAGTAAGCAAAAAAAGGTTTGGGAAATTCTCATTCAAAATTCAGCAATATCACACAGTTTTTAATTAAAACAGTTCCCTTATGTGAAATGTCTAGTTCCCCCAAGACACATTATGGTGAAACACATGCAGATTGGTTGTTCCCCTTGTGTATTCTATCTGGGTCAGTAAGTCAGAAAAGTTTTTTGACCGTTCTAATGTTTAATAAGCTTTTCCCTGTAGTGGAAAACGGCTCTAACTCTTCGAGCACCCATCTTTAGATTTAAGAGCCATTCTCTGCCAGGAAAACATCCAATAATAAATCAGGAGGATGGTCACATTTAGCTATCCGTATACAGTTTATACATTTTTCTGTTCTTCCCATTTGCTTCAACTGTTAAATTTATAGGCACTAAATACAAGAAACTGCTATGGTATCTGGGTGGAAAAGTGTTGTTCCAGGCAGCACTGCAGGTCTTCAATACTGCAAATTGCTCATCCTGTTCTCCAAAGTCATTGCAGAGTCTAAATCCCACTGAAGGCTACCTATCAGGGTTTTGTGTACATGAAGACAGATACATAAATCTTGTTCTAGAAGAAGCGTCTACCCTACAGAAAGGCAATAAATCCTTGTTCATACAATGGAATCAGGTCTTTTAAGAATAGTGAACAGATACACTAGGAAGAGATAGACAAAGAACAATTTTCTTACCTTCAATTTTGTTTGCATCAGTTCCTTACTGGTAATGATGGTGGTCACCTCTGTCTCATTCAGCCCGTGTACTATTGCTGGGCCTCCCAGCGTAGCGTACAGAGTAACGACTGAAACACAAAACAGGGGCAAGAGGTGAGTATCCACCTCACACTTTCAAGTATACTTTACAATAAAGGGCTGAGATTAACCTACTCTAAATTAGGCAACGCAGTAGAAATATTTGTCAACTAATAAAATGGTGGTGTAGTTTTGAGCTTCAAAAAAATACACATTACCCAGATTTAAATACAGCATAATCTTCACTTACTCCCTGAAGGAACAAAGAATAACCACTGTCTATATGACTTAACTATTTTTCAAGATCTAACTAGAGGTATCAAAACCCCGTTAAACCATGTTAATTATCTTTTAGAACTACTCTCATACCTATGGCTTTTAGCATTTTAAAAGTGGGCACCTGTTCTCAGTTTAATACACTGTTTAACAGTGCTCTTGTACACAGGGAACAGCTTTCAGTTACATGACTGCTCTTTTCAGAATTCACATGCTCTGCTACTAGCACGTAACAGAACCTTTACAGGCTTTAACAACTGGCTGCTAATAAGAAATTACTATAACACTGTAATATGTGTTATCAGCAGATTAATTCTCACACAAGGTAATAAACCTGTGACTACCGTGTTCTCCCATCTATTTAAAACAACATAATAAAGGTATCATCATCACAGACATTAGACAGAGAACTGACAGCACGAGAATACAGAATAGCAAGGGAACAAAGTATTTAGGAAATTGACTATTAGAAACAGTTTCCTGTATTTATGGACAGCTCATCAGCAATGGTGTTAAACCACAACTATTTCGTATTAACAGTCTTAAAAATCTTTATTTCCTGCCATTTTTATGATAACTGGATCAGAAAAGACAGGAAGAGACTGGAAAAGAAAAAGGCAGCTAACAAAGGAAGAGAGGTATTGCTCTCAAAAAAATAATAATTTCCTATTTTCCAAGCAGAATGCTAAACAGGGGCATCTCAAAAAAGTTGTAAGGGCAAGCAACATAATCATTAATTATTCATAGAATCATAGAATTTCCCAGGCCGGAAGGGACCTCCAAGGGTCATCTAGTCCGACCTCCCCACAGTCAGCAGGGACACCCCCAACTAGACCAGGTTGCCCAGGGCCTCATTGAGCCTCTCCTTGAATTATTACAACATCAGTGCTGGAATTTTTGTCACCTTAGGTATCTGAATTTCTTGTGTATTTTAGTCTGGACTTAGCTGAATATTTAAACAACATAATTATTAAAACAAGACAACCCATTGTATGCCAGGGCTGTAACTATACTATGTTCAGTGCAGCAAAAATACAGTAAAATCAAACTCTGTTGTATTGTAAGATCTGAAGGCCGGGGAGTTACTAATCCTGTGCAGCATACCGAGGGAAGAACTCAAAAGCAGTTTTCTTACACAGAAAAGTAAATAGTTGACCTCTACTTATTTTTTCCTTGTTAAAACAGTCCATCATAGTTCAGAACTGTTGCAGGGCAAACGCACATGCACTGTGTTTTCTTTAATTTGGTGGGAGCAAAGTCCAGAAGAGTGCCTCTCCTAGTTCCCACGAGCTCTCTCCACTTACGGCAGTGACCCCTGTTACATAAACAGCAGAGACTGCGCTCCCCGGCACGGCCGGGACGACACACCGCCCGGAAAGACAACTATGAGCTCTGAAATAACCATTTATGTAGTTAATTACTCGCCTACAAGTAAGTACATCAAGGACAACTTGGAGCTATACGAGCGTGACAACGAGAAAGAGCTATACCATTTATGTGACGGCGTACTGATGTCACAGAGAGAAAAAAAAAAAAGAGCAATGACTGATCTGTGAAATTCTTGCTTCTTTACATCGGCACCTAAAACCTTTTCAGGCAAACCTCAAAGTTTGGATAATTTTTCTCTCCGTTTTCTATTGAAGGCATACCAAGAAGGGACTATCTTTTGTGCTCACCTTCAACACATGCAATAGTAAAAGTGCGTCTTTGATATCTGGATTTCTGCTAAGAGTACTGCTCTGACAGAAAGAAAAATTTCACTGAATTTCACTGAATTTTTTAGAATTGGAAGGGACCATAGAGATCGTCTAGTCCAACTCCCCTGCTGAAGCAGGATTGCCTAGAGCTAGAGCATGTTACTCAGGAAAGAGTAACACAACTCAACACAACTAAATTTGCCAGCTAATATACAAAAACAAAGCCTTGTCCTAAAGAAACAAATAGAACATTGGCCATTTATTTCAATGTAACTAAGATGTTAAACTGAGCATTTCAGCATCCACCATACAAAAATAAAAAGGCAAAGTGTACCTCTAAAGGCTTCAGCCAAATCAATTCTGACAAAAGCACTTCTGCTCAAGCTTCAGGAAAGCATGATTGAAAAATGAAACACAATCTTTCCTATTTATTTCATTGTTTGATTATACACCCAGGTGTTTTATCTGCCCACAATGGTGAAGGGCTCTTCACACAGATGAAGAGGAGACTTTGGAAGAAAATCTGGGTTTGTGTCAGTACTCTTTTTTCCATTTTTGAGCTAGCAATCCCACTCTACCTCCTGCAAATACAAGACTGAGATAGCTTCAAACAATATAAAATTTACAATCAAGTTTTTCTAATCATTAAACCACTTGTTAGTGTGAGTAATCCATAACATAAGAACTACTTTCCCCATTTTAATTCCAGAGTACAAAAGGGATTCTCTCCAACGCTACGTAGGAAGAAAATGAAGCTGCTCTCTTGGCATCAGTTCTGGGCACATCCCCTCAGATTTAACACATTTCACATTGGGGAAGAATGTCACAACACTACCACAGCAGTTAGCTGTTGTCAAGCCTGTAAACTGAAAAATGCTAATACAAGTCATTTAGCAATGTCTTGCCAGCCTTCTTCAACATCATCTGAGTTTTATAATTCATTCAGCGAGGCGACTACGTGAATTCTGCATGATAATATCATCATCTGCCAGCACACAAGTCAGCCAAGTTCACGTAAGATGACATACAGCTTAGATGCTAAATACCACGTCAGACAGTGTGCAGAAGCACGTCTCAATAAGGGAATTTAAAACACTAATCCGACAAAACCAAAAACACATGCATACCATTCTACACACGCCATCCATCCACTATCTCAGATGACTTTTTTTTTGCCTCCTCAAATTACGAAATCTTCCTAGGATTTGTAAGTGCACTTCACTTCCAAAGAAAAAATAATTGATACAAGCCTTTGCATTTAGTCACTAGGAATCTAACAGATCCCAAAAGCGATAAAAGGGAACCGACACAGTGTATTATGAGACATGTAGTTTAAAAGCAACACAGGCATCTCATCTGGGAGCAGCCTGTGCAGATCTCTGCTCTGGCAGACAAATTAGCAGCAGTCTCTCACTGAAGAAAGGACCGCAGGTATCACTGAATTTAGGTTGGAAGGCACCTGGGAAGGAACCTGCACAAACAGCTCATTACAGCAGAGTGCTCAGGGCTGTAGCCAGTCTGGTTTTAAGTATCTCCAAGGATGGAGATTTCACAACCATTCTAGGCTCCTGTTCTAGTATTTAACCATCCTCACAATGAGGGCATTTGTCCTAGTATCTAATAAAATTTTCCCATGTTTCAGCTTGTGCCTATTGCGTCCAGTTTTCTCAAAACACACCTTTGCACAGAGTCTGGCTTCATCCTCTCTGTATGCTCCCATAAGACAGTTTCAGACAGCAACAAGATCTCAACTCACTCATCTTAATGCTGAACAGACCCCACTCTATCAGCCTCTTCTCATATGTCACATCCTCCAACCCCTTCAGCATCTTGGCAGCCCTCCACTGGACTCACTCCATTATGTCAAGGTCTCTTTTTCTACTGGGAAACCCAAAGCTGGACACAGTACTCTATATGTGGTCTCACCAGCATCCAAATGGAGGAGAACTTCCCTGGACCTACCTGCTACACACATGCTACTACCACCCAGGATGCTGTTGGCCTTCACCACAAGAAGTGTATATTCATGGTTGACTTGCTATCCACCAGGACCCTGAGGCCACCTTCTGCAAAGCTGCTCTCTCTCCAGTTGTCCCCCAGCCTACACTGGTGCGTGAGGTTATTCCAGCACGGACACAGGAATTGGCCTTCGTTGAACTCCATGAGGGTCCCAACAGGTCACTTTTCCAGCTAAAAGGTTCCTCTAAACACCAGCCCTGCCCTCCAGTGTACTGCCTGCTCCCACCAACTTGCTACGGGCTGTGACCTGCTGTGTTTAACACTGTCCCATCATCAAGATCTTCAATAAAGACATTAAACAGTACTGGACTCAGCATCAATCCCCAAGGGCTGGCAGCTAACTCTGCCCTGATGGCCACAATCCTTTCAGCCAGTGGACCAATGATTTTTCCATCCATCTTACCAGCTACTTATCCAGTCTCTATCTAAATAATTTGGACGCACAGATAGCGTAGGAGACCAAGTCAAAGGCCTTGCTGAAGTCACTATATACAACACCCTGTCCACAGGGCCAGTCATCACACAGGGCCAACAGGCCAATTTCGAAAGGGTATGGGCTGGGGCAGTACATCCTGTGACAAACTCCACTCTTAAAACTAAGGGAATAATAAATAAGCACACAGACCCACATTCAAGACTTATTTAAATGAAAACTGCAATATACTCATGAACATATGGCTTTTCAAACTGAAACAAACAGACTCATGCTTAGAACAGAGAGGGATCATTTAAGTTGGTTTTTTTTTTGTTAGGCCTGCTTCCAAAATCTAAAAAAACTCTAACTGAAATACATCTTTAGTTTTGGTAGCTAGTAAATCAAGGATTTCTGCACATCTGGCATTTATAGCCCATATCTTATTGAAGGAGGGTAAATGCAGAATGGAGAGAAGAGGCCAAAGCCTGTGAGGAACAGCAGCTTCTGGAGTGCCCCGTGGGAAAATGAGAAGTGTCCCCATGAGAACATCACAGAACCCAGTCATCAGGTGAATGACATACTAAGGAGTGATGATGAAACAGACATCTGAAAACAATTCTTATACCAAGTTGAGAGCAGTACTTCATAGGTTTCTCAACAAGACAAACAAGCCTAGAGCTCCTACGCACATCCTTATGCCTGGGCTCAGCCTAGGTTAGGTACACAGCAGGCTTTCCACCATGGCAGAAATGTACCTCAGACACAGTTGTGGCCCTCTACATGGCTCAAGTGAAAGGGAAGCAGAGCTGGCTTTGCCTTTGTCTCTGCCCTGCACTGAGAAGCTGTGCAAGGACACTTCCAGCCAGTCTGACCTGTTCTGCTGCTCCTCAAAGGCACCTCCACCACAGCCCAGCTCCCATGTCCTGCCAAGAGAGCACCTTCTCCTCCCTGAGCAGACTCCACTCTGCCCCAACACAGTTAACTGCTCTCCACAATAAAAGAGCAGAAGACTAAAGCAGAAGTTTAAAGACTAACTGGAAGTTACTGAATAGGACTAAGACTATCATCAGATAGAAGATCCCTAAGGACACTTCTCTTATGGTCACTCCATGAGAAAATGTGGAGTATCATCCAGGTCAGAGAACCCAGTCTCAGCCCATTGCCACAGTCAGGGATCCAACTAGTGTATGATTAAACCAGATACTATGAAACAGAGTGAGACTGACTTTAAATAGCTCAACCAAAACTAAACACAGTCTTAAGGTTTCTAACATGGTCACTAGAGCTCAAGCTTGTCCTTGAGTGTAGTCTCAAATCAGCATTCAGGGTAAATTAGGATGTACTAAATGACATGCAATGGGCTATGAGAAAGTCAAGAGGCTGAGAGAAGGAAAGGCTCAGCCTAAGCTTTGAGTTAAGGAATGACTTACAGTTTGGTAAAGGAGTTACTAAGCAATTTTTAAATTCAAAAGAGCTGTCCAAAATAAGTTCAGGACTTACTCATTCCTTTTCACTTTTTAGAGATAACAATACAACCAAAATCAAAATTGAAGAGTTGACAAAATACCCAGTTAAAACAGAACTTACAGGGACAGACGAAGGTTTGACGTCAACTCCTGAAACCGAGTCAATGAATTGATGTGTGATATTTGTTTGTTTGTTTTTAGAAACTTGGGAATCTGTACTGATTTGAGATTAAAAGAAACTAAAACTCTCACAAATTCATTGAGCAAGATATGCTTACATACTCCAGCTGCAAACAGATACACGTTTCTCCACTCAGTAAGGCAAAGCACTGCAAAGTGCATAGTCTCTACCTTAAGCAGTATTTTTTCATTCATAAACTCACCGTATACACTTTATATATATAAAGTGTATAAAATAAGAGAAAGGTTTGTTTTCAGATTGTGCTGTAAGACTTAAATAGTTGAGGAAAGACATGGACTTACGCTGGTAGTTGCACATGAAGCAGGCCTGCGCCGCAATCATCCACTCGGCCCGCGTCTCACAGAAGATCGCAATGTTCGTCTTCGGTTGCTGACCCAACACTGCTAAGCCTTTTCCAAAATTAACAGCTTTAACGTATACATCTTCGTATGAAAGCCAGGTGTACTTGCCAAGGATGACCTAATAAGAAAAACAAATTCAATTTAGAAAATGAAAATCCTTAACACATGTTCTACTACATCTTTATTCATGTGAAGAAATCACAGATGTTTGAAGTAAAAGCTTCTTAAATTCTAAAAGCAGTTTATTCAAGATAATGAATAATATTCTTGCCAAAAACTACTGGGTCTATGGAAGTTCCAACACAAATACTGCAATATCTCCATGCTTATTATCACCTCAGTTTCTGTTTTCACAGCAGGAAAGCACATGATTCCCACCATACTTCACAGCAACAGAAGCCTTTTAAAAGGCCGTGGTTATCTGACACATATGCCTTCAGATTTTTTACAAAGGTTTGTTTCATTTTACATAAAGGGTGACAAGCACCAGCTAATACAATACATGCTCTTTATTTACTTTCTTGGATATCTGGGCTACGATTCACATATACAAACAGGATACTTCGCGTCTGTTCTTATAAAAACCCAAGAAACCAGGGAAACTGGAATCCAGAAAGCAGTATATCAACGGGTCCTGACTCAGAAATTGTGAAATCCCTTTCCCTTCATTTATTCCGAAACAAATGTCAGGGGGAAGAAGAGTAATCTTTTTGTCTTTTTTTTTTCTGCTAAATAAAAGCGGGACACAAAACTGGACTGGAAATTACTGGCAAATCTCAGTACTGAAAAGTCATGTGGAAAAAGTTAAGCAATCTCACTGTTCTCCTATATGGGAAAGCTGGTGCACAGTGAAATTGGACTTGAATTTACAGTTCACTACTTACCATAGATTTCTATGTGTGGACTTGCACCTTACACCACTACTTTCTCACTAACTTACAGCTATTTCTTTGATGACATCCCAGAAATTTTCACATATAGACATAGTTCAAAGGTGATGTTTTGCACTGAAAATCCAGATTCAAATTATTATACCTCACCTGCCTGATTATACCTTGACAGTTTTGACAATGAGTTTTTATTAGTCCATTATTTCAAACATTTCCTTTGGCTACACAGGGATATATGCAAGCATTACTAGCGATATATTAGCGATATATGCAAGCAAATGATTAAAAAAAAAACTAGAAAATCAAATTTCCCCTTCCTCCCCTCATTCTGTTCTCCAGACTTCTTTTTTCAACTTTAACTACATTTCAAACTTTTGGGCTGTAAAATCTAACAACTTTTTGGCATTTAACAGCATTTCTAACGAGTCTGTATTTCCACATCCACTTCCTTAATAAAATAAAATCTCTCTCAGGTTCTAATAGAAAGATAAAATTTAACAGATTTATCAAAACACTTTTCCAAACCACAAAAGTTTACTACTGGGCAACTGAGTTGTACCCAGAATCTCCTGACTGCATATTGTTCATTAACCTACTTGTTTTGCAGGACAAAACTTTTCAGCTCAGGACAGGTACACACACAGCTGCTTGGAAATTTCACAAATGTCTTCACAGGTAAATACGATTTATCAACACCCCCACCACCCCCACCCCCCCCAAAAAAAAAAATACTTGCCAGCAATAACAACACTTCTCAATTTTACCAGAAAATAAACATTTCACACACATATATCTACTCAAGTCTTCCTGTTTTATTTACAGAAACTCAGCTCCATTGTCAAATATGCTGTTTCACAGCCAAAAGCCTTGCTGGAGAAGAACAATGCCATTGAATTTCACTGCTGGAAGCACCGTGGGGCAGGGGGCTCACTACTACCAGTGCACACAGCTACAACTCCCAAAGGAGAAGGACCCACAAGTTCCTTTTGGTTTTGACACACCAAGATATTTCTGGTGTGGAAAACATTTACTTCATCCAAATAAAATACTGCATCTCTTCCTGTCCATCCAAATTTCAGTAATTCAGAATTTAAATTCCAATTTGGGACACTTCCCCCCTCCCCCAAACGCAGTATTTTCATCAGACTTGGAAATTCCTGACAAGCTCATCAGCTGAAAACAATTTACAGAAGTGATTCAGGCAACACCCTTTCCACCATTATACTCTACCTACAGCGTGGCCTCAGGGATGCTGTTCTCAAATAATTGGGCCAAGAAATACAAGCAGATTCTTGTTACTGTTTCTGGTATGTCTGCCAATCCATAAATGAACAGGTTTTGGCAATTTACACCATTCATTACATAAGACACTGAAGTTGAAATAATAAATCATTAAAAGGTCAAAAATTGATCTTCTGAGGAACACTTGTAATTCCGACTTTATTCCTTTTATTCTCTTAAATAGTTTATCCTCATGGCTTAAATAAGTTTTATATAAAGTAGTGAAAGAGGCCTTAATGGTGCTTTCCTTTCTTAAAAGGTTAGAAAATCCACAGAAAGGAGGTATAGCACTGTTAGCTAGTTATATTTCTATATATAGAAAAATATTGCTGAAGAACACTGATGTGTGAAAACAGACGAGAAGACATTTTTCAATGCAGCTGTTTTGAGTTTTACTTTTCCTACTGCCTTCCATGTATTTAAATTTCCACGTTCCCTTCCTCCCCATGCCCAGCGTTTCTTCTCTATTCCCTCTCTATCACATATTGATATACTGCCTCCGTCTGTACATTCCTTTCTTCTGCATTTATTTATATGCTTCTTTTGCAGGACATAGAGTAGGTTATGGTTTCTCTCATCCTTCCTTATGTTTGAGTACATCTCCAAATCCATATCCTTTTTGGTCCTTGTCTTGGTAGCTTTCCCTAATCTTTTCCAACATAGAGTTTCTCCAGTAAACAGCTGTTAAGATTGATGTTAAGTGCCATAATCTTTTAAATTTTTATATGCATTTCATTTTTCAGCTTTCAGAACTTATTTCTGTGAGATAACTACCTAATGCATGTAAAGAAAGTAACTGTCCCAGAGTTTGCAAGAGGAGGGCCCAAGAAGTCACAATCATTGAGAACTGATTAAACAGACACGTAAAACCAAACACTAAATCAGAGGAGAGAGCACCTCTGAATGTTTGCTTCAAAATACTACATTAAATAGAAAAATACTGCCCTCTAGTGCACCAGCTTTTAAACATACTTAAAGTGCAAGTTAGTAAAAAAAATATTTGAGTTACCTATTTAATGCATTGGAAAATATTATTAAAGATCAGTACTGTGTTAATATTTGGAGATCCAGGGAAGCATGAAAACTAAACACTTGCTGCATAATGAACATTTCTTTAATCTGGATTTTAGGACAGCCATATCCAAATTTTTAGTGTTAAGGTGTCATAAAATGTTTTTTTAAAAGCTGCAGGCACATGTAGAGTCTACAGCTACTTGACCTCAGTTACCTTTCAAGGTCTTCTTAAAAGTAGATTATAAGGCTCAAGAGAACCTTAACTACAATTTGAAAAACAACAATCCTGAATTAAACATGCTTCCTTGTAGAAGATACATTCAAAAATAATACAAAGGATGTTATTTGAAATGCCCATTTTCAGCTTTTTTCATATGAAAGCCCAGATTGCCACTGAACCCTTCTGAAAACTCCCAGCCAAAAATATTACTTACATAGCACCTTGGTTTTTTTCAACATCATAAGCGCCTCTTACTGCTCAATGACCTGGCTTGGCGAGACCCTCCTGCAACTTCACTTTTAGCATCAGCTGTAACGAGCTCCATTCTGAACTCCCAAGCACTTGCCCATGTGCTCACTGCTTCACAGAAGTCTCACAGGCTTTAGATGCACCACTTTCTCCTACCAAAATCAGGTTTACTTTTCCCAACTATGTCTTATTTTGTTATGTTTCCACTAATTTTGTTCTCAGTTGCAAACCCTTTTCAGAACAGAACAAACACACGCACCCCTCTCAAAAAAACCCAAAAAAGCTAACAAAAACCAAAAGAACACACAAACAAACAGCAAAATCCACATACCAACGTATATAGAAGCAAGCACATGACAATACAACCTATAACTAAGATGAAATAAAATACTCAACCAGCAGAATAAAGTTCACCTTTTGGGCATCATAGAATTTAAACTCTGCCTAAATAATTTTTTCAATTAATTACATCTTAATCTCTGAAGTATTTTCAACATTATTTTATCCTGACTTACATACATATTTTATTAAATTAGTATTATTCATGTATTAAACTAATGGCATATGAAATATTATAAAATGCAACAAAGTGAGCAGAAGCAATTCTTTGTATTTCATTATCACCTGTGAATTTCTGCTACTTTGACAACTACGCAGGAATAAATAAGTCTTTTGAACAACATATCCTAAAAACTCAAGAAATTACAGATTATCTGGGATATCATTTGCTCTCAATAAATTAATGTTATATCTGATCTTAAAGATGTTAAGTATCTAGCTTTAAATAATTTTAGCTAGAAGTGTGAGCACACTTAGTTCTCCTAAGAATCAGAAGTTTAATATTTTACTTTTTTGAGATATATATCAACCCCATTAATTAATGAACTAATTAATGAATTAGACTAATCTAGCCCACTGCAATTTGCACAGAGGGTGCAATTTGCATCTTCTAACAGGTAATGGAATTCGGTACACAGATCCATGATTTACATTCAGATCTGCCCCTGACTTGCAGATGACCTCAGAAAAATACATCAATCATTCCCACTACTGTGTTCAATTTCTGAAAGAGGAAAAAAATAGTTTAACAAGTTTGGCAACTCCTGTAAGGTACAGAAATTACATGCAATGTATCTAAAAACTGTTGATCACCTTCTCAAAAAGCTGCACCAAATAAACCTCAACAAGTTGCCTTTATTAAAAGGAACCCAGAAACAAAGAGATGCATGTTATGAAAGACAAAAAAAAAAACACAAAGGAAAAGAACCCTAACATTTAGAATCAACAAGGTATCTTGCCAAATTTTGCAATTTTCCTCACTTGCTCAAACATGTAATGGGGTATTAAGAAACACTGTATTCCTTAATGGAAAAAAAAAAAAAAAAATTAAAAGTAGACTTATGTGATAATGCGACAACTTGGAACAAAATAATTTGAGGGCAAGTATGGCAATGGACCATAATGAACTGTTGTGTCAAGCTTAGACAAAATTACCTAACTTAGGTAATTTCTAAGTCTAAATACTTGTTTCTAAGTAATTTAAGTAGGTCAACACCAACATTCTTCAGCTTTCCAATATTCAGAACACTGTGCTTGCATAATGGAAAAGGCTAAAACTCCTAAGTTCTTAAGCCTTACATTACCAATTATGTTTGAAAAACAGAGCACAGATCACAGGCAGTCAAAATTCTGATTTATGCTCAGAAACCCACTCTGTACAACATGAACCTTCTGTTTCTTTATAGGGCAATGAGGCAGCAAAACTTGCATCAAGGAGGATTATATGTACTCATTTCTCCCAGCATTTCCTTCATACTGGAAAAATGAACTCCATAGCTGGGAAAAAGTTTCACTAACAATTAAAGCTTCTATAAAGATTTTAACAGAACTAAATTTTGCCACGTATTGTGATAGTAACCAAACTCTACTTTAAACATTTTACTCCTGTTATCAGAATTAACATTAGCAGTATTTAAGGAATCCTTTATTACATAAAGAGATCATTTTTTCTTCTGCAGGAAAACTAATCTTAACTAAAAATTGTCTTTATAGCATGTAATTAACAACTTCTAATACAGAAGTGCAGAACTTTCACACATATCCACACAAATACATGTATCCTGTTAAAAGTACATTGACTTGCTTCTTCAGGCAAGATTGCATTTTTAAACATCTCTGAATAAATACAAAGTAGGATCTAACAACACAGTTCTGAACTTACAAGACTATAAAAAGTCAGTCCCTTGAAACAACAGAGTTTTATATTGAAATTACATCTCTCTCCACACTGATAACAGGTAAGCAGAGAAAGAGTTCACCCTAAAGGAGACTGAAAGGCAAAAGCAACCAACCAACCATCTTCCTATTAAAATCTCTGCAATCCTTTTTCAAACGAAGATTTTATTTAAGCTCTGAATTCACAGGGCAAAATAGTGAATCCTTAATTTATAGTTGAGTTTAGTGGAAAGGCACATGCAAGTATAGGCATCCAGTATTTCTCTATATTAATCTGATTATAGTTGAAAATAACAAAGGGAATCCTTTTTTTTGAATTCACCTAAAAGGAAATCTTTAAAGTCGGTTACATCATTAGCTAAATATTTAAAACAAATACCTAACACATATTCGTACTTTTTCTTTGGCTGAAACTGTGCAAAAGGGCATCTACTCAAGAATGCAAAAAAGAAGGTTTAGATTTGTTTTAAATGCCAAGTAATGAAAGATGGGGCATTACTTAATTTAACTCTTTCCATGACTACTTAATCTAAGTAGAGAAAGTTCTTTTTTCCCCACAATTTGCTTTACCAGACTAGAAATGTTGCAAAAGAAAGTAAACACACTTTGAAAAAAAAAAAAAATCCTGAAAACAGACTGCAAAAAGACCTACCTTTTTAAAAACTTTTCCTGATGGCTGGATTTCATCTTCCTCTTTTAGGATTTCACGTGTTCCCAAGAGTTTTTTGTCCTTAAATTTAGTTTTAGCATATTTAAAAACTTTGTCGAGCGTATCACACCCAGGATATAAAACCGAAGCTAAGCAATGTAGGCTGTTAACAGATCTGTACGCACCCCCAGGCTTGTTATTCACAGGTCTAGCTTTAACCTGCTTGGCTTTTGCTATAGCCTGCCTGGATCCTGAAAGTATGTACCACGGAATGTACGTTACAAAGGAGTACACCAAGATTATAAAGTTTATAAACTGTAGAAGAACAGGGTTGATGTCATGCTTCAACTTCATTTTGGCTGCTTGCGAAGGTTACAGGGGAGAGTTCGGAAACATGGATCAATTAGAGAGGGATCCAGAAAGATCTGAAAAGAGAAAAGAAAACATTAGTGGTAAACTCTATAGTTGTTGGCAGAGGGTTTATTTTCAAACATATTATTACAACCTATACGGAAGTAGCTCTTTTTTTGCAGAAATTAGGCTAAAAGTCTTAACCTCTAACACAAAGCAAGACACAGGTACACGAGTGAAAACTCTTCCCTTCCCATTTAACAGACTGCAGTACTTCATGTTTTTATTTCTCTGGACACCACACAACACAAACGCAGAACCTAAAGAATTCTGGACCATTTTTAAATAAAATGCATACCATTCACATGTCATCATCTGAAAATATTAAGTGATTATACAATTTAAGAGATTCTCTCCAACCACATAAGAATAGCTACGTGTGTATCTTCACCAGCAATCCCACGACCTTTGAGAGTGTAAATCATCAACCTCCATGCAAGCCCTGAGAACACAATGCCACCACTGTACGTGGGACCCTGAATATGCTGAAACACTTTACAAACATCACACAGCCCAGGACATCTGCATAAGCAAAGGAAACCATCACCTGAAGGTCCTGTACGCAACAGAACTTTGCTGGCTCTTTCATTCCTAGGGACTTTGCATCAGTCCTGTGATTTCAGCATCAGTACTGGTACGCAATGGGCACACTTGTTATAGAAACAAACATGACAATAAGTTAACTAATATTTGCTAAACACTGGAAAACGGCTTAGAAACATCCCCCAAATCCTAACACCAGCACTATGAAGAGATATGTAACTCTTTCCAGGATCCCTATTGATGCCAGGATATTCACTTTGCATTTTTTTAAAGCATCATTTGTCATATCTAAATAACATAATGATGCAACTTTCTAATGTATTCTCCTGTGGAGGCAAGATATTTTGCCACGTATCTAAAAGATTTTAAAAAATAAAATGAACAAAAGAATCATTACGGAAAACATGATCACTTTTCATAATGGCAGAAGACGCATTTCTGCAAGGGTGAATGAGCTACCAGTTATAAAAATCCATGCTTTGCACATAAAAGCAGAATGAATTATAAATATACTTCACTCAGTTAACTTTTCAAATGTATTGATACAACTGTATTAAAAGCAATATAAGTAAACAATACAACTAATAATAATGTATACATAAGATGCACAACTTCGATAATTCTTCCTAAATTTAGTTAATTTTCATTTGTAAGATACAGTGCCAATACCATATTATTCTTTGCTGATGTCTTACATGCATTGACTCTTTGAAAACCCTCATGAAAAGAAATTTTAGTTGAAAAAGTAATGTTTAAATCATATAAGATTGTTCAGTAATTATGGAAAGGAAACCTTGCTTCATGAATTTTCAATTTGTAGATCCTTTTGATTAACAGATCAATCCAATATCCTTCATTTGTAGGATGAGACTAATTCCATCTTTCTCTAAACCATACAGTTTCTTAAAACTCCAAGCAAAAATATTTCACTGTCAACTTCTTCCCTAACAAGCGGCTGTAACCTCATCGTTAACTCTGCATCGTTACAGGCAGTTTGAAGGAACCCAGCAATGTCAAGGTCTATTCTGCAAAGCACCCAGAGACACACACTCCAATAAAGCACAGGAGCTCTGCACAGTAGGGACTTACTGGATGAAGCAACAGAGGGGAAAAGGGATTTAAAACCTAAATAAAAAAAATGGAAGTGTATATATTTCATTTTCAGATCAAAGGCATAAAGCGATGACAAATAAAAAAAAAAAAACTAAATAGGCTAAAGGGCAAATTCAGTAATCGTTTGAAGAGACTTATGTTCTTAGGCTGTCATTGAAGGATACTTAATGGAAATAATCATGTGCCAGCCAATAAGCTACTGCAGTCCAGAAAAAAATATGCCGTTGTTGATAGCAGCACAGAACATGATGTTTTAAAGCCAAATCCAGAGTTCACACAACAGAATTTTACCCATTTTTCAAAAAGTTATACATGGTACTATGCTTTTGTCTCACCCGATTCAAAGGGTGACAAATATTTTTTTTTTCCTTATAAAGCTGGAGCACCTCTCTCTGCCTACACACTTGTCGTGGTTTAACCCCAGGCAGCACCACAGAGCTGCCTGAGCAGTTCTTCCCTGGGAAGAGGGAAAGAAAAAAACAACTTGTGGGTTGAAGGAAAGACAGCTTAATAGAACAATAACAAAAACTGAAAATAATAATAAATGACAAGTCACTTTCACCACCCAGTGAACTGGTACCTTCCCAAGCAGAGATTGCAGATTCTGCGCCCCCACCAGCCAACCTCCACTTCTATACCGACATGTCGTCTATGGTACACAATATCCCCATTGCCCATTCCCTTGTTCTGTCTATGAGAGTCCTTGAAGAGTATAAACATCACCTAGCAACAACTAAAACAATACGCATTACTGATAGCCCTGTCATACCAAATCTGAAAATGCAGCAACCACTACAAAGAAAATCTTTCCCACCTGAAACCAGGACAATAGTAGAAACAGAATTTAACCAAACGCTCTTACAAGCAAAAATGAAAGCAACTGATTTAATACCTTTTGGAAAATTGTTCTCCAAAGAAGTTCCTTGTGTGACAAACAAACTGTCCAAAAATATTCACAACTTTCCTTGGTTAGAGAGGCACTGTGCCCTCCTAGAACAGCAGCTTCCCATTTTATTTTGCAGTTATCCCAACAGCATCATTCCTACCTCAGAAGGAGAGAGCAACCTTTTCCACCATCTCTAAAACAACCACACTGAAGTCTCACGTCAAGCTCTCTCTTCTGGCTTACCTAAAGACTTGCACATAAACCCCAAACCTGGAAATATTTGCTTTGAATTGCAAACCATTAACTGCACAGCGCCCACCATCTCATAAAGGCTGCACTGCGAGAAAGGCTTAAGGAACTCTCCAACAGGACAGATCAAGGGGAAATATTTTGGAATGTCACCCTGATTCAGAAAAGTAGGTGTCCATCTCTAGAACCCTGCTCTGATGCACATCTGTTATCCTAAGGAAATTGCTAATTATTTCAGCTTCAGTAAAGTGAGTCTATTACAGTGAGACTATTACAATTAATCTATTTCAAACAGTTTCTTTTAAAAATTAACACTAACAAAAATATTTTTTCACTTAAACTGTTATTTTTTTTAAGGTTAAAATAAAGTATCTTTTGCAAACACAGTTTTTTTGCCTCAAAGGCCAAATAAGACTCCATTTTTCTTTAAAATCTTCTAATTAGGAGATAGCAAACTTCAGCAAAAGAGAGTACTCCTATGCCAGCATCTAACAATTTGGCAGATAGCAAACTTTAGCAAAAGAGAGTGCTTCTATGCCAGTCTCTTAACAATTTGGCAACTGATTTCAGACTCTGATATTTACAGAGTATTTATGCCTGCAACTAATTCTAATTACCATCGCAATTGGGAGCTGGAAAAGCGCGGTCTATTTTTGAACAAGCAATAAAAATATATTCTCATATTCTCATTAGAAGCATAAATTCCATTATCTTTGTAGGGTGATGGTTCTAAAGAGAGCTGAGCCTCGATACAAGTTCCTTGGTGGCAACGTAAAGGCTCCATCTCTATCCTTGTATAACAGAAGAACATAAGATGCATCTTTCACTCATTTCATTATATTTTTTTTTGCTATGTTGCTGAAGAGAAAAATTACAGGTAAGCAAAAGAGATGCAGTTTAAAATGCCTTCACACCCAACAGATTTATCACTGCCATTCCCAGCAGAAGAACATCAAAGTCAGCTAAATGGATCACTAAGCGTTCAACAACAAAAATCATTTTGATGACACTGTAGGAGCAAAATTTACCCCTAACTTGAGTCTGGAGTGCTAGCAGTAACACAATTAGCTTTTACTGCAAGCAAAACTCAACACATCTGAACATGACAGTATGTTTTAAGTTGGGTTTGTTGCTTTGGGGTTGGTTTTTTGGGGGGGTTTTTTTGGTGTTGGGTTTTTTTTGTTGTTTTTTTGGGGGGAAAAAAGTGGTGTTTAAATGAAAGGTCTTTTAACCTCCAAATCTCCCCCCACATTTTTCACTAAGATAAGATGTCTGCAAGTGTATTTTTCTCTATAATAATTGCTATTTTGAAACTTTAATGTACGGTATTTAAAAAATTCAGAATGAAAATACGTAATTAATAATAATTTTGCAGAGTTTTAGTTTTAGGGAAATATTCAAGGTTCTATCGAATTTGAAAGGCTTGAAAAGGATGGACTGTTTCCTGTTTAATAGTTCGTCTTTTTAAAAGTACCAAAAAAAGAAAAAGCTCCTGAAAGAACTCAGTGAAATACTACACTGGGGCTTTAAAATTTCATTGAAATAGAATTTGTGGTCACCTCATACTTTGTGGAAGTACGTGACTGCATTTGACCATAAAAGGAGGGTAAGTAAACGCAACATTTTGGGGCAGGGAATGGAAAGCAGAGGACAACAGGATCCTAAGCAGTTTCCATAACTATTAGTTAGACTATAACACTTCAAGAAAGTCTACTGCCCTTACAATACTGGGATTTTGTTCTTAGGTAATTCTTATTTAATCGCTGATAAATAAAAATAAACGACACCTGAAAATATTTTAACTTGGCTGTTTGGTCTGCAGGTTAGGTGTAAACACTCAGGTTCTTACAGAACATGCATCCATTCTGGTTTCACATAATCTTGATGGGGTTTTTGAGGAATCAGTGTTCAGATCCTGACTAGTGATGCAGGAAATGTTGGCAGATTAAATCCTGGAGGTAAGAACTGCTAATTTATGCAAGAATACAACTTACAGAAAAACTGAGGAAGTGAATGTTTCTGCACACACACAACAGCTCTTCAGTTTACATATAATTCTGTTTCATGAAGCAGTCACCAAATAGGAAAGAGTAAGACCACAGGTAAAAAGCTGTACAGTTTTTTCAACAGCAAAGAGAAGAAGCAACCAGCACACTCATTCATGAGTCTGGAGAAGTAAACCGGCAGTTTCCAGGACTGATTCTGCTTAATACATAATCAGTGATTTGGCCTGATATACTACTTATACTAATACTGTTATACCCTTTAGTTTTAGAAGAAGACTTTTGTTCAATGAGGAAAAAAAAATCCTTGAAGGAATGTGTTCACTAATTGACCTGCTTATAATAATTACGCTACCAAAAAAAAAAAAAAGCATGAATTAACAAGAAAAAGAAACCTTATGCAACTTCTCATCATGGCAGGTACAGATACAACAGCCGGTACAAGATGTGCCCGTCTCAGTTTTGCTCAACAGGGGCTGTCACAGTCAACTGCCTGAAATCTAAAAATGGAAAGTCCCCATTAAATATGGCAATTATAAAACATGTGCTCTGTTCTTTCACTTTTATGATTAATAAATAAAACATTTTGTTAATCTAATACTGCATTGTATCACCTCAGAGAGACTAGGCCCACTATAGCTAAGCTAAAATAAAGCCAATTGTAACCCACAACATAGTTAGTCATGGTTCGTGCTCAAGTCCAGTACAATCAAGGTGGCTGGAAGAGCATTAGCTAAATTCAGCAGCTCACGCTACTTGTCTCCCTGACAGACTCCAACTCCCCAGTGCCTGTAGTGTAACACTGGTATCTGTCTATGCAGAGAATACATTTCAGCCTGAGTAATAAATCTTCCTGGACACTTTATAAAAAGACTACATAAAACAGTAATCATTGCGTTTATTGACTTTGCTCTCCAATACATCAAGCTTTTATTTATTGCTCTCTGCAGAAAGTTTTACTTAAAAACCTCTGCCAGCAAATCACATTTAAAATATGGAGCAAATGTAAACATTTCGTACCCATTACCTGTCTGCAAACATTATTATTTACACAGCTATTCAGTTGCTACACAGATAATCTTTTCCAGCAAACTGTTTCAGTGGATTGACTATTTGCTGCTTGAATTAAGTACCCAGGGTGCTCACTGCCCCATTTCTTGACTTCTACAATTTCACACGTACTAATTAACCAAAACCAAACTCAAACCCAGAGATTCCACGATATCCTTACTAAAAAGCATTTCTGTCAACAATTTATAGTTGCAGGAACACACATTATATTTCTCTTAAAAGTGAGTCTTGCACAAAGAACTGATTTGTTAACATTCATAGAAAGGATAGAACGTTTATTTACTGGATTAGGCTTTATTGGACAAAATAACTAAGTACCTTCATGTATTGTCTGATAAATTCACTACAAAAAGTAACAATCCAAGACCTCAAGACAATATAAGAAAGCCCATAACATAGAATTTTAACTGTATCATAAATTAGCCTCTACTAGTTTACATCTGGACTTAAAAAGCAACATTATCAATGCTAAGGAAGCTGGTTTTTTACTACATCTGGAATTTGCTGTTAGAGCTGCCAGCGAAAACATTTCTTTGCTAGCATTCAGCAAGTGAGCTTTTCTTCTACAAAAAGAAGAGATCTCAAAAAACCAAATTACTAGTATTCATTTATAAATATTCATGTACTCATCTATATAAAAACAGAAAAGAAAACCAGAAGTACACAGAGGCAACAGCTTATGCTTCACAAGGGAACTCCCTTGACGACGAAGCGAGGTGGAGCCCGAGACAACGAACAGCGCTGAGGAAAGAATCCGAGATGTACAGCCATCTAAGCGGAAGATCTGGTTTGCAATATGGATTTAAAGCATAGTTATATTTGAAAACAGATGTTCATCACAGCTACAGCAGAAGTGGTTTCACACGTTTCTTTAAACGGAGAGGATGGGAATCCCAATAAGCCCTGAGAATGGTGGAAACAGACGCTTCAGGTCCCTAAAGAGTTGATGCTCAGCACGTTTTCATGAAATTGGAATGACAGCAGAGTGAGCTCAAGGACTCACCTCAGCTCCCCAGCTCACCCCCCCTGCTGCTCTCTGCAGCAAGCCTCTCCTCCCCACCACCTCCCACAACCCAGAGAGCCGCTGCCCCGGGACTGCTGGTGGGACCTGTGCCTCTCCCCAGGGCCCAGCTTCCTCCAAACCATCCTGGTGGTCCCCTCTCACCCAGGCCCAGGGGTTTCCACACAAGCACAAATGCTGTCCTTGTCCCCTGCTTGCTTATTTTCCAGCCCCCCTGCTCCTCCATGTCACCCTTCTCGAGGCTGCTGCCTGGGTCTCAGCATCACTTCCAGGGCAAGGGAGCCCTTCCACATGCCTCTAACACCCACAAAACCCTTCACCACCAGGCAGACCCGAAACCCTGTTCCAAAATGGGACTGCTTCTATTGAGCCAAGTTGGGAACAGGTCGGCAGCTCCATCCGAAAGGACCATCTGCTTGCAACAGGCAGGAAAACAACCCTTGGTGCTCCAGCCCATGGGTTACCACCACCCACGGGAAACAAACCCAGCAGAGGTACCTTCCTCAACAGCTCCACCTGACCACACAGGGCTTGCCACGGTTATTAAATAGCCTTTGCTAAAGAAAGGTGTAGGAGAACAGGACCGCACGGCTGCAACGGTCTGACCTGCACTCAGCCAGAGGCTTTCATGAAGCTTTTTCAGGCAGGCAGACCCAGAATAAAATTAATTCCCACATCATCTCCAGTCTTTGATTTCTCACTCCAATTCCTGAACAAGAGAGAAGCTGTCCCTCCCTGGACTTAGCTCTCCTCACACTACACATCATGAACTGCTCTTAGCTTGCACAGGAAGAGGTATAGCAGGAGACCAAAATTACTACCGATTACAGCTTTTCTCTCAAAAGGATGCAGATTTTCTGGACGTGGGGAGGATAACTACTCTCTCAAACACACCTAGAGTAATTTTGAGCTACCTTGTTCAGCTCGCCCTGGAGCTCCAGCTGTGACCCACCTCTCACAGCCTGAGGCTCTTTAGATGCCTCCAGTTGCTCTGCTGAGGACCATGCTCGGTGGCTGAGGAGCCACCTCAGCATTCCCACTCCTGCTCACACAACTCAACCCCCAGGAGGCTTCACCATAAGCAACACCACAACTGAACTCCAGTCCTGACGGCAACTCGGGCGCTCCTGTGCACAAGTGTGTTTCTAAAAAGTACACAAGGGCACACACCAGCCATCAGGAAAGACACATCATGACCTGGAACAAACCCGTTTCCAAGTGTTTAACAGATCGCTGGGCAGCCAAGGTTGCTCATGAAGTGCACGTCCTGAGGGTACGGTTTCAGTTTGGCTCAAGCAGATTTAACGCTGGGCTGCTAATAAAAACAGACTGTTCATCTCCAAAACATAATCCAGCTCTTTCCCCCCATTGTATCAACACACGAGTGCCTGTGTGGCTGGGAATGAGTCAGATTAGTTTGCTGATCCAGTTTAAACCCTCTCCTTCTCAGCACACCAGGGTGGATTTTCCTTTGTATCAACTTAGGTACTTACTGGAGCCCAGGGAGGGTCACTGCAGGCACCTAAATCAACAGAAAATTAGCACGACAAAAGAAGTTATTCTTCCGCTTTCTCAAACCGGGTAAGCAGGAGCAGACAGGCGTTAGTGCCACCGCAGAGAGGAACAGGGGCTGGAGGAGGAGAGGGAAGGAGCCTGGCAGCCCCGCTGCGCATCAAACCTCTGCTCCTCTGTAGGAAAACCCAGGTCAGAATAGACCAACACGCAAAAAGCCTTGTGACTCGGTCGTCACCAGTACACGGCGGGATCAGAAGAGCTGTGTCTGGAGATTAACCTTCTGCTCTCACTACTAATGATCTCACTACTTACTTTATTTGGAGCTCACCCTTGGTGATTTCAAGTGCTACAGCCTAAATAGCTCTAAACTTTGGATGAAGGCATTCCTAGAAATACAAAGGGGTTTAATTTATATCCTTCACATCTTAATGCTACATTTCTAAAATGATACCTGTTTCCTTAGGAGGCAGCCAGAAGACGTGTTATTAGGATAAATATGTTATTATGTACTTGTTAGACACCAAGATACTACAGCAGTAGGAATTACATGAACCAAAGAAGTCCTTTACCCTATGGAGACATTTTCTACTATATTAATTAAATCTTGAAACAAAGGAAATAGTTTTATTAGCTAGATAAGTTTGCAAAACACTAGCATTTTCTTTTCCATTTAGTGAGCCCACTTACACCAAAGGGGAAAAAAAAAATAAATCACACCCAGTGGTGGCAAACAGCAGGGAGACAAACATAGCACTGAACTCAATTAGACAGAAGCAGCTGACACCTCTTGAGGGCAAAGGCCTGCACTTTCTCTTCAACAGATCCTCGGTATACCCAGATATCTCTTAAAAGGTAATGCTAAGCATCATGCCTCTAACACCCACAAAACCCTTCACCACCAGGCAGACCCGAAACCCTGTTCCAAAATGGGACTGCTTCTATTGAGCCAAGTTGGGAACAGGTCGGCAGCTCCATCCGAAAGGACCATCTGCTTGCAACAGGCAGGAAAACAACCCTTGGTGCTCCAGCCCATGGGTTACCACCACCCTCGGGAAACAAACCCAGCAGAGGTACCTTCCTCAACAGCTCCACCTGACCACGCAGGGCTTGCCACGGTTATTAAATAGCCTTTGCTAAAGAAAGGTGTAGGAGAACAGGACCGCACGGCTGCAACGGTCTGACCTGCACTCAGCCAGAGGCTTTCATGAAGCTTTTTCAGGCAGGCAGACCCAGAATAAAATTAATTCCCACATCATCTCCAGTCTTTGATTTCTCACTCCAATTCCTGAACAAGAGAGAAGCTGTCCCTCCCTGGACTTAGCTCTCCTCACACTACACATCATGAACTGCTCTTAGCTTGCACAGGAAGAGGTATAGCAGGAGACCAAAATTACTACCGATTACAGCTTTTCTCTCAAAAGGATGCAGATTTTCTGGACGTGGGGAGGATAACTACTCTCTCAAACACACCTAGAGTAATTTTGAGCTACCTTGTTCAGCTCGCCCTGGAGCTCCAGCTGTGACCCACCTCTCACAGCCTGAGGCTCTTTAGATGCCTCCAGTTGCTCTGCTGAGGACCATGCTCGGTGGCTGAGGAGCCACCTCAGCATTCCCACTCCTGCTCACACAACTCAACCCCCAGGAGGCTTCACCATAAGCAACACCACAACTGAACTCCAGTCCTGACGGCAACTCGGGCGCTCCTGTGCACAAGTGTGTTTCTAAAAAGTACACAAGGGCACACACCAGCCATCAGGAAAGACACATCATGACCTGGAACAAACCCGTTTCCAAGTGTTTAACAGATCGCTGGGCAGCCAAGGTTGCTCATGAAGTGCACGTCCTGAGGGTACGGTTTCAGTTTGGCTCAAGCAGATTTAACGCTGGGCTGCTAATAAAAACAGACTGTTCATCTCCAAAACATAATCCAGCTCTTTCCCCCCATTGTATCAACACACGAGTGCCTGTGTGGCTGGGAATGAGTCAGATTAGTTTGCTGATCCAGTTTAAACCCTCTCCTTCTCAGCACACCAGGGTGGATTTTCCTTTGTATCAACTTAGGTACTTACTGGAGCCCAGGGAGGGTCACTGCAGGCACCTAAATCAACAGAAAATTAGCACGACAAAAGAAGTTATTCTTCCGCTTTCTCAAACCGGGTAAGCAGGAGCAGACAGGCGTTAGTGCCACCGCAGAGAGGAACAGGGGCTGGAGGAGGAGAGGGAAGGAGCCTGGCAGCCCCGCTGCGCATCAAACCTCTGCTCCTCTGTAGGAAAACCCAGGTCAGAATAGACCAACACGCAAAAAGCCTTGTGACTCGGTCGTCACCAGTACACGGCGGGATCAGAAGAGCTGTGTCTGGAGATTAACCTTCTGCTCTCACTACTAATGATCTCACTACTTACTTTATTTGGAGCTCACCCTTGGTGATTTCAAGTGCTACAGCCTAAATAGCTCTAAACTTTGGATGAAGGCATTCCTAGAAATACAAAGGGGTTTAATTTATATCCTTCACATCTTAATGCTACATTTCTAAAATGATACCTGTTTCCTTAGGAGGCAGCCAGAAGACGTGTTATTAGGATAAATATGTTATTATGTACTTGTTAGACACCAAGATACCATAGCGGTAGGAATTACACGAACCAAAGAAGTCCTTTACCCTATGGAGACACTTTCTACTATATTAATTAAATCTTGAAACAAAGGAAATAGTTTTATTAGCTAGATAAGTTTGCAAAACACTAGCATTTTCTTTTCCATTTAGTGAGCCCACTTACACCAAAGGGGAAAAAAAAAATAAATCACACCCAGTGGTGGCAAACAGCAGGGAGACAAACATAGCACTGAACTCAATTAGACAGAAGCAGCTGACACCTCTTGAGGGCAAAGGCCTGCACTTTCTCTTCAACAGATCCTCGGTATACCCAGATATCTCTTAAAAGGTAATGCTAAGCATTTGCCATCAACCTCTTCTAACACTTCCATGCCCTGCTTGTATGAAGTATCACTGCGTGTTGCAGGAGAGTGAGAGACTCAGGATAGTAAATCCACCCTCTGCTTTCTAACGGAACAAAGACAGTAATATTTATGAGAACCTGAAAGCTAAAGTGACAATCACAAAGTAGACAAACAGCTTCAATTTTCCCAAAAAACTATAGGACTTTCAATGCACAGTCTGACTACATGGGCTACAAACTTAAGGTTAAACCTTTGTTACAGGTGAAAAGTAAGACTAAATCAAAATGGGTTCAGCACTAATTCAGGAGCAACACTTAAACAGACACTCCTAAAGCTACCATTACCTACACCACAAATACCCTTCCAAGATGCTAGAACCAGCTGAAAACGCAAAGCCTGTTGCAATTGTGCATCCTAGAAATTTTCCTATTCAAAACATTTTAAAACTTATTTTGCTTAAATAAATTAATTTAACTTACAGAAGACAGATTAAATAATTGTGGACTGATGAATACATCTTCTAATAATGAGTAATAAACCACAGCTCTAAGGTAAAAATTGTTACCAGCAAACCTGAAAGCACTTCCCAAGTTGTTAACATCATTGTTACTACTAATGCAGAGAATAAAACAATGTGATAAAAACATTTCTTCAAAGTCATTCAACAAAGTAATGTCTATGCCAGGAGCACAATCCAGGGCTACCATAATCCACATATTTTGTCTCCTTTTCTTCCTACTACGTAATACTGCTTCATGGCAAACAAGTGCCTTACTCCTTTCAGGAACTTTGATTTATCAGATATTGTCAATACATTGCACATTGCTTCCCTTCATTCTCATAAGCAGTTATTAGAGCATTTTAGAGATATTTTTAATGCCAAACTAAATTAAATGTTTGCATGTTTGTGCCAGAGAAACAAAGGAATTCTGCTGGAGAAGACCCCAGAGTAACTTTGGTATTTGCAAATTAGCTGTCAAAGAGAGATGAAAACACCAATTTCCCAAGTACACTGTCAGATTTGTAAACCACAAATACAAACTAAACACAGAAGAGTGCTTAAAGAACATCAATACCACTGCACACACAGATTTTTAAAAATCTGCATAAAATTAAACCAGAAGCCTCACCATTACCCACAACCTTTGGGTGCAAGAGAAGCAAGGTAACAGCCCAGTTTTCGCTGCCAGTTTATCACTCTCCAAATTCCCACAGTCATTTTTCAATAAAGACAATCCTCCTGAGCACTTCCACTGGGAGGCAGACTCTGCTTTCCATTTGAACTGAAAGGAATGACCAGAATGGTTTGATATGCCATTTTCTACTACAAAATACAGCCTTAGACCAGTTCTCTAATTTCTGGGAAATCTGCAATGCTAAGGAGTGGACAGGTCCAGTTTGTTTCTTAAACGTCAAAACAGAAATAGACCTTCTGCTGCAGTACATTCAATCTGGTTGTGTGCTGTGTTCTAGTCATGTATTTGTCAGATCAGAACAAAAGTCTAGTATAACGATACCACAGGGTTTTAGCAGTAAAGGTGCTTCTGGTTTTTTCCTCTAGCAGAAGGTATACATGCATAAAAATGTTCTCATTTACTTTTAGATGAATTCAAGTTCATGTAGTGTGGCAGTGGAAGTTATTACCCACTATCCTATATTCATTTATTAAAAAAATACCAGGTGGCCAGCTTCAAAATCTGGTAACACCATGTATTTATACTGTCTTTGCCTTCTTTCTGCAATATTTCTTCTTTATTTGATGGGCTTTTGTTAGGGATAAACTTAAGCCAGAACCTCTCTTTAAAGAGCAAGCAGTAGATGAACACACTCAAGCAACAGAGCAAATCTGAGAGAACAAAATGATGGTATAGGCTTCAGAAGAAAAAGTAAAGGATTTATTCCAACTCTTTAGAGAAGTTCCTCACAAGAAAAACATCAGTCAGATGAACAATACTTTCAAGAGGAATTTTACAACACATTTCAAAGGAACAAGGACATCTGCAGCATGATCAAAGCTATCCAAGTGATAAAATGGGATGTTTCACCACTTAATTTGAAAGGCCGAGCCGTTGACATTTTCAATACATTTTCTCTTTTGAAGGATAAACACATTCTCAGGTTCCAGTTGCTTGGGTTTTGGTGTGTTTGGTTTCGCCTTTTTTAACAACGCCATAGGGTCTAGTCATCTACAGGGATTTACTACCAGACAAATTTAATGAACAAGTTCCCACAGGAACATCT